GGGGGGGGGGGGGGGGGGGGGGGGCAGGGGCTCCCACTCTCCACTTTGAAAGCTTAAAAAAGAGAAAGGGGAGGCAACTCGTCGCCTCCTGGAGAAAAATGTGTCCTTCAGAGAGGCCCCGGCCCTGCACTCCACGGGGCCACCAGAAAGCCTTCCAGACAACTCATGGTACCATTTTTAGATACATCAGTGTGGGGCTGAGACGAGGGACAGGGATACCGGGCAACACGGGCCTACCTCGGTGATGAGGTGGAGGGAGAAGAAACAGACTACGGCAAATGTTAACGTACAGAAGGGCGCAGGGGAGAACACAACACAGAAAGGTGGGTCCCGTCCGGTGAGGAAGCGCTCTACCCCCAGCGACCCGTCCCGCTCAGGGGCCTCCAGTCCGATGGCCCATTGGTCACAGGCTTTGCTTTAGGAAACAGCCACCCTCCTCTGCCCCTGCTTCTGGCTGCCCGCCCCCCCCCCCCCCCCCCCCCTCGCTCAAAGTTTGATTTTGAATTCTGTGGGCTGTGTAGTCACAGAGGCCCCCGAAGACTTGAAGAGCGCTTTCAGGATGGTGTCAGGGTCCACTTCGGCTGGAGGGTTAGAGGAGGCGGTAGAATTCACCCTGCGAGGCAGCTCACTCTCCTTCTTCACCGAGGGGCTATCGCTCAGCCGTCTGCAGAGAGCAGAGTCAAAATCCTTGTCAGTTTTCCCTCAGACGGCGAGGGAACCCACCATTTACTAAGTCTGTTAGGAAAGCTAGGTGCTGAACACACTGCTTTCTGTACCCCCTGATCTCATGACATTTTATAACAAATCTATCATTTTTTAATTTACAGATGACAAAACTGAAATGCAGCCCCTGGTGATCTGAGGCTTTAACTCAGGAAATGCTGTATGCCCTCCAGAGACGGGCACACCCACGCCGGCTTATTACATATTTGGAGAAGTCTGGAAGTCAAGAAATCGGCTTCACTCTTGTTTATTAGCCTAATGGCTCCCAAACTAACTTGGTCATAAAATCCACATTTTCCAGAATACAACTTATTCCTGGAGTGCAGCTTAAAACACTTGTCCAAATCATACAATTCAATATCTGAGGTTCAAATTCTGGTCTTTCTAAATTTCTAAGTCTGTCTGCACCACCAACCTTGGCAAATCTGGTATCTTCCTGAGGTTTTGTCTTCTCGTCTATAAAAGGATGTCCTGCCAATCTACTCATGCATGCCAGCCTCCAAAAATGCATAAAACAAGGGCCACCAGTGGGTACTGTCTCCATCAGAGTCCGGGGCGAGGAGGTGGCATTTTCCATTCACTTGGATGGAACTCACAGTGGAACAAAGACGCAACTGGCCTGCTCTCCCCTCTCTTCTCAGGCCTTTCTAAATTCTAAAGCTGAGAACAGCAGCCCCCGAGGGGCAGGCCCCTGCAGCGACCCTGCAGTACGGTCGCTCTTACACCATCCGGCACCCCGACGGCCCAGCTGCCATCAGCGCAGAGGACGCGGGAGAGAGGAAAAGCACGGACGCAGGCATGTTACTCCGCAGCAGGAAGAGACTCGCACAGAGTAAACCAGGAGAAAAGTTCCACCCGCCCCCAGCACCGCTGCCTGTGGGACTTACAGCAGGATGGGCTGGTCTGAGGTGATGACGTTCCCATTCATGTGAAGGTTGCACTTCATGGGTTGCCCTGAAAAACCAGAAAAGAAAAGGCTCTGCGATGAGACTTCGGCTCCGGACAGAAGGATGAGGGTTCCACCTCCCTCACCGGGGCCCCCGCTGCTGGCAGCTCTGGCTCCACAACGGGTGACGGGGAACCCCAGGTGTGAGGTCCCCGAAACCTCAGCAAGGACGGCACCAAACAGCAAAGTGGAAACAGACCTCCCTTCTCCCCTCGAGCAGCAGAGGAGAGCTGCGGGACGGGAGAGCCTGAACGCATGTGACTCTGTCTAAGCTTGTTCGTGAGGTAGTGAAGGAAAAGGTTTATGCAATGAAACTAAGTGAAAAAAGAACTGGAAAGTGAACATGCGGGCTTCCACTTGGTCTATGAAGGACTGACGGCTCCAGGTCCTGCCGGTGTAGCTACTCTACCTGCTATGAGAAGTGTGGTCATCCCAGCGCCACAAAGTGGGGAGAGGGAACAGAGCCATATGGGGTAACGTTTCTGACACCTCACTGGAATTAATTTAATATTTATCTGAAATCGATTCTGGTAAGCTACAATATATACTGTGAATTCTTGAGCAACCGTTAGGGTAGCAACTAAAAAATACAGTGAAAAATGGGGGATCTGGGTGGCTCAATCAGTTAAGCATCTGCTTCTGGCTCTGGCCAGAGTCCTGGGATTGCGCCTCTCATCAGGCTCCCTGCTCGGTGTGGGGCCTGCATCTCCCTCTGACCCTCCCCCACCTCGTGCTCTGTCTCTCATACTCTCTCCCTCTTTCAAGTACATAAAATCTTAAAATATATATATACACATATATATGGTGAAAAAGTCTTTAAAGGACCTAAATGGTCACATTAGAAATATTCACACAAGTGAGTAGAAAGGAGCAGGAGGGAGAGGGAGTAAGAATCATAAGCAGACTCTACACAGAGCCTGGAGCTCAACGAGCCTGATCCCAGGGCCTGAGATCATGACTTGAGCTGAAACCAAAAGTCGGAGGCTTAACTGACTGAGCCACCCTGGTGCCCCGAGACAAAAAAGGTCATTTTGAAATGATCAAAGGGTCAATGCACCAGGAAAGAAAGCGATGATAAACTTATCTACAACTAACATATACAAACACGTATACGGCTAACATCAGACCCTCAAGTACACAAAGCAAAACACAACTGGAAGAAATAGACGAACATAGCTGGTGGCCCTTCACTTTCAGGAATGGCCAGAACCAGGCCGAAGACCAACAAGGAGAGAGAAGATTCCAGTAACATTACAAACTGACTAGACCTACCAGACATCTACCAGCAGCAAAATACACGCAGATTCTCCTTCAACACTCATGGGACAGAAGGAAATCCGGCAAAGTCACAAATGCATGGAAATTAAAATAATTCTAAGTAACTAACGGGTCAAATAAGAATCACAAGGGAATTCAGACAGTACTTTGAGATGAATGAAAATAAAGACACAGTACACCGAAATTTATGGGACACAGCTAAGGCACTGCTTAGACAACAGTACACAGCTGTAAATGCACAGAGCAAGAAGAGGGGGAGACAACCTACAGGATGGGAGAAAATACTGGCAAATCAGTTATCTGGTAGGAGAAGAACTCATATATAAAGAATTCATTTTTTTTTTTTTTAAAGATTTTATTTATTTATTTGACAGATGGAGATCACAAGTAGGCAGAGGCAGAGAGAGAGGAGGAAGCAGTCTCCCCGCTGAGCAGAGAGCCTGATGCGGGGCTCGATCCCAGGACCCCGGGATCATGACCCGAGCCGAAGGCAGAGGCCTCAACCCACTGAGCCACCCAGGTGCCCCTCCTTTTTTTTTTTTTTAAAGATTTTATTTATTTACTTGACAAACAGAGATCACAAGTAGGCAGAGAGGCAGGCAGAGGGAGAGGAGGAGGAAACAGGTTCCCTGCTGAGCAGAGAGCCAGATGTGGAGCTCGATCCCAGGACCCCGGGATCATGACCCGAGCCAAAGGCAGAGGCTTTAACCCACTGAGCCACCCAGGCGCCCCAAGAATTCTTTTTTTTTTTAAAGAATTCATTTAAACTCAATTAAAAAGAGTCCGAAAAGACACTTCTCCAAGAAATACAAATGGCGACTCCGCACAAGCAGAGACACCCAACATCATTCACCAACAGGGAAATACAACCACCGTGTCCCACCAGCATCTGCCTCTCGAGCACATGTCCCTGGTCCACAAGGGTACTCAGTAAACACAGAAAGAACTAGTCAGTGGACAACAGGGCCATGGCAGGCAGTTTCACTCCACAGGCCGTCCTGAGATAAACAACGGGACTGTGGGCTCAGGAAAACCAGGAGCTTGCCCCCAGGAGCAGCGCCCACCCAGGAGTTAACCATTGACACAAGGCTGCCCGGCGTCTGAGGAAGCTGTGTCCTAGCACATCAGACCAACATCTGGAAGAGGAGGCTCGGACTTCTGGCTTCCCCAGCAAGACCTCGTAAGAGAACCATCCATGGAGAAATGGTGTTCCTATGCTCACTAGACCAAAGTCCTAGGGTTGTGTGAAAATCCAGGGCCCTGTCTGTTCTTGGTGCCCAGGAAACCTTCTGTCCAGAGGGCTGAGCGTGCCCGGAGTCCTCCCAGCCATCCCAGAGGAAGGCTCGCTCTGAAGGCTGCCCCCCGAGAGGGAGCAGTGAGCGGCAGGATGAGGTGGCTGCTCCCTCCCTGACTTACCATCCAAACACCTGTTGTTATACTTCTTGTATGCAGTAATGGCATCGTCCTTCTTCACAAAGACCACCTCCGCTACCCCAGGATGGACCAGGCGAGCCCTTTTGAGGGCTCCACATACACAGAAAAGCTCCTGCAAACAACAGGAGGATTAGGGTTGCAGAGAATCCAGGGCCATCCTCCTGCCTGCCAGTCACTCACTCCAGAGCTCTGGGGCAGACGGCGGCCGGCCGCACTCCAGCTGAATCCGCCCAGCGCCCAGGATTTCGGGAGGCACCCTTTCAGGTGGTGTCCCTGGGACATCTGCAGGCCTCCCGATACGGGACCAGATGAGAGCACGAGCCGAGCTGGCAGCCAGAAACGGGTCTGGGCTTATAAGCCCTAGGGTCCCTGTGTCCTTCAGGAAGGCACCCCAATTTCTTCCTGCTGCAGCACCTACATTCTCAACAGGGATAGGAGTTACAGAATTTCTCTGAGGGCCCCGTCATGAAAAAGAATGTGCAGGCTCATCAGAAGCCGTGGTAAACAGGTCACCACAGAACCTGCAAATTATCTAACTTCACTGACATCTTCTCTTCGGAAAAAAAGAAAAGGAATGAGCTCGCCCTCTCCCCAGGGCTGCTGAAAGCTCAAATGCAGGCACTTTTAGGGCAGTGCTCTATATGCCTGTGTCACTACCGTCATGTCCCCTGACGCCTCCGCCTCCTCTTACAGGGGGCGTGGGGGGGTGCAGAGAAGGAAGACAACGTGGAGACAGACCGCGGAGGCCAGCCGGCACCCACGCCACGGCTTCACCTGCGACTCCCTTCTCAACGCTGTCATGAGGACAGAAAAGCTTTCCGAAGGGGTCACTGAAATGATTTGTTTTTCACGATAAAGTGGAAAATGTCAAATACCAAAACTAAGAGAGGGAAACCGAAAACTAAGTGCGATCCCAATTTCACTACTACTGTTCTCGAGACATCACCCGTGGGGGCAAAGAAGGGAGGGCGGGCGTTGCTGCCATTCACACGGGGCGGCGACCACCACAGGCCGGCAGGTCCCACTACTCTGTATTTCCGAAGATCCTGCCCACAAAGTCCCTGCCACATAACATATGCTCAATAAACAGCAGCTATCACTACTTTTATAACCAGGAAGAAGATCTGTTTCAACTCTCTGTTAACTTGTCATTCGCTGGTGAGCCTGCTCGCTTCTCAAAGCTATCATACGGCACTTGTGTTTCACACTCAAAACCCGTCACACGTGGTGGCCATTAGGGGCTGTTACAGCACTGAAACTCCGCTGCAGAGAGCCCGGAGTCTGGGAGCTTCCTCCTGGGACCTGACAATTCAGAGTTCAAAGGGCAACTGGACTTCCGAATTAATAGTGGGGTTTTTTTGGTGCCTAAATGAAAAGGAGCGGGAGCAGAGTTGCGCAGCGGAAGCGTGCTGGGCCCATGAAAAGAAGCGGGACGAGAAGTCCTAGCTGCATCAGGCCCTCTCCTTGCCAGGTTTAGGCTCTGCCCGTGACTAAGGGCGGGACAGGACAGACCAGGGCAATCCAGGGGGACCAACCACCACATAACCCCAATCTATCTCATACCTTTTACTCTGGAATCATCATGAAAACCCCTAGAGGAGGCACAAGTTCCAAAGACTCACAGGAAAATAACCAGAAGGCTGTGAACTAGAGGATTAGAGGATCCCATTCAGGCCCCATCCAGCACCCTGCACCGGCTCTGGTGCCGACGCTGTGAAGCACAGAGTTCCCACCGCCAGCCCAGCTGCTCACTTTTGAAGACCTGCTTCCAAGGCCGGATCTTGGCCGGTGTCGCATCTTGGCTGGTGTCAGGCAACTTGGAACTGGGGAGGGTTCCCACCACCCTAACTGATAAGAGAGACTCACTGAGCCTAATCTATGCAAACAATGTGGTTTACGCTGGATACCTGCTTTCGCCCTGGGAGTCCGGAATGCTGACGTGCAGGGGCAGAGCGAGCCTACACGACTAGCTGCGGGTAAAGACCCTGGGTGCTGAGTCTGCACGGAGTTCCCCAGTTTCACGCATCACAGTTCGTTGCTGGGGAAATAAAGTGCATTCTGTGTGACTCCACTCGGGGAGGAATCCAGACACTTGCACCTGGATTCCCCTGGCCTCTGCACCGCGAGCCTTCCCCTTTGCGGAATTTGCTCCGTATCCTGGAATAAACCTTAGCCCTGACAGCACTCTCTGAGGAGTCCCGTGAGTCTCGGGGAATTAGTGAACTGGTGGTGGTCTTGGGGGCCCTGGACACAGACGCGGTTTGAGAGCTAGAGCCCTGGCGGGACGCGGTACTCACCACAATGTCTTCCTCAGTGACTCGAGGGTGCAGATTGTTGACGGTCATCTTGGTGCCTTCCAAGGGGCTGAGGACAGGCTGCCAGACAAGACAGTGACCAGAATCAGAGAACGGCTGTGCGCTCAGCTGTGGCACATCCGCCCGGCAAGTGACCAGGAAGGCCCAGAGGAAAGCCCCCCAGAGAGCCTGTCACAGTCACGCCTCCACCACGATACTCAGGATGCACTAGTCATGTGTCACGACCCACCCAGCTCAGGTGACCCTTCCTCCTCAGAGCCTTTCTGACCAGCCCAGCATAGACAGATGCTCTCTCCCCAGTGCTCCCAGCAGCTCTCCTCCGGGCAGGCCTCTGTTCTAGCACAAAGGCTGCTCCGTCTGCAGCTCCGTTTCCCCCAGTTGCCCGCAAGCACGCCAAGGGCAGGGCTCACTGAGGCTTGCTTTGCTCTTTTGTAAAATGGAGGTGGCAACGCCTACCTCACGGAGGTGCTGTAAGGGCTCGACAGGGTACGCACACCACGCGGCCCCCCCAGCACAGGCTGCCTCCCGACGGGTGCACTCGCTCCCTCTCCTCGCCTTTCCCTCACCTCGGTGGGCGGCAGCTCCTTTGGGGGCTCCTCCTTGTTCACGAGTGTCCGGGACATGCTGGTCAAGGCTTTTGTTCGAACAGAGGAGGGGAGGGCCGGAGCTGTGTACGCGTCATTCTGGACCACTTTGGTGAGAGGGAGGGCCTTGGACATGGAGAACTTGGAACTGCTCAGTCCGGCCTAGACAAACGGGCAGACAGGAATCTGAGAAGCTAGAGAAGAAGACAAGAGAGAAGCACTACGGAGCTGACAACCCTCACCCCCAGGGGCTCCTAGCTCCCCAACCCCATCAGAGATCTGGAGCCAAGAAAGGCTGCCAGTGACTTCCCCCAGGGAAGGGGCGGGAGGGGAGAAACACAATCTGCCCACATGCTTACAGAAGCCTCCCTCCAGTGCAGGAAGCCCCTGGTGAGACACTTCCATGCAGCCACAGGCCTACCCAGACCATGGAAATTTTATGAAATTCTGCAATTTGGAGCTAATGACAAGGCCAAAAGCTTAGAGTCAAGTTTGCTCCCAGATACGTTCCTATCAAAACTGGCCGACCATCAGCTCTGAGCTGGCCTGGCGGAGGAACCCACTCTTCAGAAGGTCCAGACTCCCAACTTCTCGGTCCCTGTTTCTATACGCAGAGGCACCATGGGCAGCCCCGGCCCGATCGGCTCCCAGACCGTGAGGCACACGCTGGCAGTCGTGCAGACCAGCAGATACCGTTCCCTCCCTCCCCTGCTCCCCCTAACTGGGGATGTGGTCCCTTGGAAACATAAACTAGGAAACTCCTTGCTAGGAATGAGTCTGAGGAAAAAGATGTATGAGGCAGAAGCGGCAGGTGGCCTTGCTGCTTTAAGCCTGCGCCGCCAGCTACAGGCTCAGGAAGAACGGCCAGACGCAGCCGCCAGAGGCAGAGCCCGGGGCCGGGGTGATTCACTGGCTTCTCCGAATCAAACGAAATGTCCTCCTTGTGCTGGACCCCACACTTCTCAAGCTGCTTTCTGATTACCGATGGCCAGTACGGTACGACACACCCGACCTGCAAGGCCAACTGCAGAAGCTTGACTCCTAGATCCACTATTTATACGCTGGATGATACTGAACATATTTTCATCTCTCTGAGCCTGATCCCTCGCCTGTAAAATGGGACTAGTAACAGCACCCACCTTACCGGGCAGGAGGGAAGGGGAATCCTAGTTAACATAGACACCGCATTCTTCCAAGTAGGGTGAGCCAGGACCTGAGCCTGCTGACCACTCCCTGGGCAGCGGACCTTAGCAGTTCAACCAGTACAAAGGCCCAGCCCCTAGTAACAAGTCAGCATAATTCAGCTTCGCACAGCACTCTAAGAACTTCAGCGGCAGCCACGAAATTGGTCCACACAATGCAGTGGCAAAAATGGAGTCTTCGGGTCTCTGAAGGCCAAAGGCCAAGCTTGGCTTGGGCGCCCCCAGGCTGCCGTTCCTGACATGGGCTATACCCACTGCTGCTGGCCACCCTAATGGTCCCAGATACTGCTCTCGTTCCTTCTCTACGTGGGATCTGCCCAGCAGCCTACTCTAGCAAGCTCGCCCGCATGCAGGGTGCACCCGGTGGAGTGCACAGGCCAAGTACAGCTTATTCCTGCTAACACACCAACTGAGGGAACCTGGTGTCAAGAATGCAGCTGAACAGGCGGCTTGGTTGCTCGTGGGTTAAGCCTCTGCCTTCAGCTCGGGTCATGATCCCAGGGTCCTGAGATCAAGCCCCGTGTTGGCTCCCTGCTCAGAGCAGAGCCTGCTTCTCCCTCTGCCATTCCCTCCACTTATGCTCTGTGGCTCTGTCAAACAAATAAAATTGTAGAACAAACAAACAAAAACATGGCCAGAGGTGCTGACCACAGGGGAAGGGGAACATGCAGAACGTCCTAGCACAGAGGAAAACACGATGCCATCCTCAGGGATCTCCCACTTCCCCTGCAGGGAAACAGCAAGCGGAAGGTGCCGCTCTGCACCCCACCAGCCGTGGGGCCGCCGGCACAGCACTGGACACCCTGCTCTCTGCAGCTGTAAACCAGGGACTGCATCAGTTCTGAAAACCTTAAGACCCGCAGGAAGAAACATTTCTGAATTGAAAGGGCACATTCTCCACCACCACTCCCATCCACTGATAATACACGAAGAGCGCAGGAAAAATGTAAATGCCTTACCATGTGGTGGAGAAAGCCGCCGGAGGCTGCAAATTTCATCTGTTTACTAGGAATGGGAGCTACAGAGTCATCATCTTCCTCCAAATCATATAAATTCTGAGAAGAAAGAAAAAAAAGCTAATGGGGCCTGCAGGTCCTGAAATGACATTTGGAGCAAGAACAGGAAGAGACGTGGAGCCGGTTGGAGGAAGAAGCAGGCACAGGGGGGCCCGGGGGAGACTGGCCTGGGCGCCCAATCCTCACGGGCCGGCTCTCCACCCACAGGGGCCCAGCAAAAGTGCTGCAACCTCCAGGTACGTGAGAATTACCTTTCCACAGCAGGCAACACCTTGAACCACCTAGAACATGTGTCTATTATCTTAGTTTAGAAAGTCCATCCTTGGCAGTCTGGCCTACAAATAGAAATCCAAACCCCAGAAAGAGCTTTAGCCACAAAGATGCTCACAGAAGGATTTCTAACCGTGAGAATTAGAGAAAGATGGCTTAAGTAAACCAGAACACCAACTCAATGGATTATGCAATTATTTAAAACGTTTAGAGTAATGTGAATCACAGACGTACTTGTGTTGTAAAGTAAAAACAGGAGAACACAAAACTGGATAATAATGTAACCGCAAACACACAACTGCAGCGAGGCAGTAACTAGACAGCAATGACACCTAAAAATAAAAAACCGAAGAACAGGAAAGAGCCAGGGCAGAATTTCAACAGCTGTTGGCTTTGGAGAGCAGAAGCACCAGAACTCTTTCTTCCTGTGTAATCTTTCTCTATTTCGCAAATGTTCTATATTAAGTATGTATTAAGTACATACTAATTTTTTGCACATGCTACCTTAATAATAAAAAATAGAAGACTTTCAATTCGCCTCTCTGCCCATTATATACCCACCCACCCCTCGCCACTGTGTGAAGTTTAAGAACAACTACAACAACGACTCATGCACTGCAGGGTCTCCCGGGGGGTGCGGTCAGCTGAGCGTCTGACTCATGGTTTCGGCTCAGGTTGTGATCTCAGGGCCATGGGCTCCGTGCCTGGCAGGGACTCTGCTTGGGTTCTCTCCCTCCCTCTCTTTCTGCCCCTCCCCGTCCCTTGCACACATTCTCTATAATAAATCTTTGAAAAAATAAAAGTAAGAGTAAGTAAAACTCAAACTGCCAAAAGCCAAACGTAATCCCTCCAATTCTTCACACTGGGAACCTCAGGCCAGGCCACAGCGAATCCACCCAGCGGAGCTCCTCAAAGAACACCCACGCACGCACTACGGCACACACTCACGGCCATGCACACGCGCTCTCGCTCTCCCACCTGTTTGGCCGGGTGGTTATTGACAACGTTGATTCTCATTCCAGCAGGATGGGTGTGGAGCGGTGCCATGGCCTTCTGCTGGGGAACCTAGAAACACAGAGAGACCGTGATTCATCCCCGGGGGGCCACACAAGTTCTCCATGAGAAAGGAATCACCACACTTGAAATACGGTGCCACTCAGCTGTGGCCCGCGGTAACCTCCAGCGAGCCTCGTGCCCAAAGCAGGGCACCGCGTCGTCTTGCTCCAGGAGCCTGGCTCAGTGAGTGTTCGTAGCTGCTGCTGTTCCTGTTCCCGAAGTCACTGAGAACATTAAATACTGTTTCCATTCCGTCTGCAGCTGTGCAAGCGGCCAGCACGCCGGATGAGGGGCTGGGTCTGCCTAGGCTCCTCCCTTGGGCCTCCCACTGACGGCTGTGTTAACGCTGGGCACAAAGACCCACATCCTGAGAGGGAGAGCCGTTTACAAAACTGCGGGAATGGTCCCAGAGTCGTGGTGAGAGAGAAATTCGGTCCTATGTGTGAAGTGCCCCCCACACAGCACACGCCCCACGAGCGTCTCGTCCTTTCCCCGCCTTCTCTGCATCGCTCGCTCACTGCGCAAGTCGGTGACTGCAGAACGAGATTAAATCCTTGCCTCCCTCATACAGTTACTGTACAAACACCTGGGAGAACTGTCATTCGGCCCCAATACTCGGCCCCCGCCCCCTGCCTGAACCCACAGTTGTTCCCGGCTCCCCAGGAACGTATGGCAAGAGCCGCACCCACCTGGATGGTTTTGGTGAGCTTCAGGGCGGGGGTCACCGCCCCGACGGGTGGGCTCAGGAAGGTGGCTGGGGAACTGCGCTTCAAGCTGATCTTCTCGCGGGCATCGGCCACCTGGCGGGGCTTCGGGGGCGCCGTGCTCTGCTGCTTGCGCGAGTTCAGCATCTCTCTGGCATCCTGCACTTTCCCTTTGATCCGGAACCGAGCGTCTTTCTGCAAAAGCTTTTCCCGGGCATCCTTGACTCCCAGCTTGAGCCTGGCGTCCGAGAGGCCAATCTTCTGCCGGGCGTCAAACCTCTGCTGGAAGGTGGCGGTGCGGGCTGGCGGGCTGAGGAGGCTCTGCTGGAGCCCCACGCGCGACCGGACACCTCCGACTCCCGGCCTGGCGTGCGGACTGCAAGCAACAGAGCGGGTATGAAGCGGGTCTGGGCGCTCACCAGTAGCCCCTGGGGGCAGGGGCAGTTGCTGGAGAACCCAGACATCTGCTCGCTGTCTCAGGAAACAATTAAATCTACGCTGAAACTTCTTTCCTGGTTTATGCCTTTGACTGCCTTGCAAAGAAAACTAGGAAGAAGGGCCTGGTGGTTTCTATCACTTAGGTAAGACGGTTTTGCTCCCCAGGCCACGTATTCTGAGACACCATTAGGGACAATAACCTACAAATCATGCTAGTAAAAAAAAAAAAAGAAAAAAGAAAAAAAGCACATCCCCCAAATATCCTAACCCCATACGCCTGAAAAGCAACGTCCGTTTCCAAAGCGCTTCCCCAGCCGTGCCTCAGTCAGCGCCCTGTGAGGTGGGATGAACAAGCTTGGAGAAAAAATGATTAACGAAGGGTGCCCAGCCTCCCTGGGCAGCCCAGGCCTCCAGTGCCAGCAGACGCCCCCTGCCCCCTGCCCAGGGGTTGGGAGCAGGAGCAAGCCCACGGACAGACTGAAGACACAAGGACTTGGTAGAAAAGAAAACCAGTCACTGTCTCAATTGTTTCCAAACACCAAACATGTAGGTGTTCCCCCCCACATCAACTGTTCTCGAACTCTCTGGACACCAACTGGGTGTCCTACCACTCAGTTCTGACACTACCTACCCAGAGTCTGCGCACACCCCACAGGCTACAGGCTATCCCGCAGGAGTCCCCGCATTTCAGATGCCGGTTCCAAGTCCTGGGCTTCCCATACTTTTGACAGACTAGCTAAAATAGAGGGGATACACACCCCCTCCTCAAGTTCAAGAATTTGCTAGAATGGCTCACAGAACACAGCCGAAACAGTATACTTACTATTATCAGTTTATTATAAAGGCTACAATTCAGAGTCAAATGGAAGAGAGGCATAAGGTACAGGGGGAGGGGGAGGGGTGTGAGTTTCCACATCCTCCCTGGGTACACCACCCTCCCAGCACATAGCTGTGCTCGCCAACCCAGAAGCTCCCCCGAATTCCATGTACGGGGCGGGGGGGGGGTTTATGTAGGCAAGGTTGTCTGAATCACTGGCCATTGATGACTGACTCAATTTCCAGCCCCTCTCCCCTCCCTGGTGGTTGAGGGGTGGGGAGTGGGGTAGGGCTCCAAGTTCCTACTAATGATGCCAAGGTCTTTCTGGCAACCAGCCCCCATCCTGAGGCTATCCCCGGGGCCCATCAGGCGTCACCTCATTAGAACATAAGATGCTCCTACTACGCATGAACTCGGGAAACTCTCACGAGTTTTAGGAACAGTGTGCCATGAATCAGGGATAAAACCACCTTTGTATTTAGCACATTACCAACAAGAAGAATGTCAAATTCAGAAACTGTTAAGATTGGAAATGAACTAAACTCCATTAAACGGGGGTGCCTGGGTGGCTCAGTGGGTTAAAGCCTCTGCCTTCGACTCGGGTCATGATCTCAGAGTCCTGGCGCTCTCTGCTCAGCAGGGAGCCTGCTTCCTCCTCTCTCTCTCTGCTTGCCTCTCTGCCTACTTGCGATCTCTGTCAAATAAATAAATAAAATCTTAATTAAAAAAAAAAAAAACCACTCCATTAAATAGGCCCCATTTGCTTGTGGGGCTCCTCTGCTGGTCCTTTAGTGGCTTGCGAGGAAAGCAAAGACCATTCCAGGTAAATCCTGAGAGCCCTTCCTGGGGTCCGCAGGCTGCTCCCTCACCCCACCTGCCCACCGCACCACCCCAGCATCACCCCAGCCTCGCCACTGCTCGCACAGCGGGGGCCCTGCCTGGGGGACTCCTGCTCCCAAGGCAACACCTCCTCTTAGGGAAACCCTCCCTCCCTAATTCTTCTAAGACAAGCCTCCTTTGTGCCTATAACTACATCTGCTTGTTTTCTCCTCCCCACTGGACTGGGAACGGGGAGAATGGGCACAGTGCTTTGTAAGTGGTGCTGAATGCTGGCTGGGCATTAGAAACTCCCGTGGAACTGCTTAAAAACACGGCTGTCAGGGCGCCTGGGTGGCTCAGTGGGTTAAGGCCTCTGCCTTCGGCTCAGGTCATGATCTCAGGGTCCTGGGATCAGGCCCCGCATCGGGATCTCTGCTCGGCAGGGAGCCTGCTTCCTCCTCTCTCTCTCTGCCTGCCTCTCTGCCTCCTTGTGGTCTCTCTCTCTCTGTCAAATAAATAAAAATAAAATCTTTAAAAAAAACAAAGACAAAAAAAAACAAAAAAAAAAACGGCTGTCCACACCCCACCTGCAGCTGAATCTCAAGTCAGGGCTGAGGCATCTGCATTTTGACTCCACAGGTGATCCTGGATGACAGAAGCGTTCAGAATCTCTGACCTGGTGTCAGAAGGCAAAGCTCGACTGAACAAACAAGTTCCTATACGGTTTCCCACATCTGTGTCCGGGGCCCCCCCACAGGGCCCTCCTACACACTGGGCAACTCAGAGGGCACTCCAAGTACCTCGCCATTCCCCCCGACTGGAGGGAGACTGTCCTCCAGCTCCTGTGCCAACCGCAGGAGCACACCCAAGGGACCAGGAAAGGCAACATGGGCCTTCACCTTGTTATCCTTTGACCAGCGGAAACACCCGCTGCGGATCGCCTAAGGCAGTGATGCACACTCCATTTCTCTTTGAGAAATGGAATATTACTTTAGGATTTAAATACTTTCCAGGGGGTCTACACAAGAACTAGATGGAAGAGAGAGGGAAAGGGTCATTTACAGAATTGGTCAGATTAGGTTTAAGGTAGGGGCCGCCCTACTTGCTGGTCCCTGTCCTGTTTTCTCCTGCACAGGAGTGGGTTAAAAAAAAAAAAAAAGGCCAAAAGGAATGGGGTGTTTAGGGAGTTCACTAAGCACAAATAGGGAGAGGGAAATCGGCGTGTGTGCAAACAGCACCCATCCGCCCCCGGAGTGGCCCAGCCTCGGTTTCATGGTCTGTAAGGCCTTGACAACAGTGGGGCTATGCTTCGTAGCATCGCTGAAGCCTACAGCTACTTGAGGGGCCACGGGAATTTGTGGAGGGCACACGAACTTCCTAATAAAATAAAAATTAAAAAAAAAAATTAAACCCATAGGTTTTTTCTAATGCTTTCAGCTCCCTACACCCGTTGGTGATGTCCATCGGAGAAATGCAACAGGCTCTCAGTTCACACCAGGAGCTACCACTGAGAGCCCACTCGTAAAATGGGGAAAAGGATTTTAATCAGCATTTACTGTCCAGATCCCGACAAAGTCAGGGTTAGCGGAAAGTCCTCCGGGTAAACTGTTCACTTCCCACTCTGAAGCCAGAGGCCTTGGGCTGGGAAATCAAGTCACCAAAAAGAGCACGGCAGGAAGACACCTACTCCAGGAGAGGAAGGACGGAGGTCTCCAGGGACACCACACACAACCAGACACCGCCCCGCTACGAGCCGAGCATGCCACAGATCATGCAAACGATGCCCCCCCGCAGGCCACAGCATGCATTCTCCTGGCTCTCGCAGCCCTGATGGGCGCCTCCGCCCTGCGCCCCCTGCCCTCAAGAGGGGCGCCTGGGTGGCTCAGTGGGTTAAGCCGCGGCCTTCGGCTCAGGTCATGATCTCAGGGTCCTGGGATCGAGTCCCGCATCGGGCTCTCTGCTCGGCAGGGAGCCTGCTTCCTTCTCTCTCTCTGCCTGCCTCTCTGTCTACTTGTGATCTCTGTCAAATAAATAAATAAAATCTTAAAAAAAAAAAAAAAAAAAAAAAAGAGTGTTCCCCACCTTCTCCCTTGGCACTTCCACAGTCCAGGGCGCCCTCCCTGGGCAGTAGAACCTGGGACACAACTGCCGCAGAGGCTCTTACTGTGTGGAGTCAAAGGATGTGTCTCCAAGGCCACATCTCCTGCAGGATGAGGAGCCTCTTGTGGGCGGGCACTGCAACCCTGCACCAGGCAGATGAAAAAAAGGCTCAAAGAGCTTTCCGGTCCTGAGCACCTGCTAAGTGTAGGGATCCTACACCCCGTCCCTGCCCCGCCATCCTCCTTTCATCCTCCCAGCTGTGAGAATGAGGCTGTTACACACATTCGACAGACGAGAGGTCCACCCAGATTTGCCCGCATCCAGTTAGAGCACCAATAAACGCGGTACGGGGCAAAAGTGACGACCAGAACTTAAAGAGTTAAAGAGGGGGTGTGCTGTCCCCAGGCTAAGAACAGCTTAGGACTCCTGGGCCCCATATGGCACAGGCTCTAGGGACCAGAGGGGGAGCACGCACGCACCCAGGACGGCCCAGCGTGCCCATTCAGGTCCCAGAACATGGCCCAGATGCCTTGTGCTGGTCTTTTTTCTCTGAGAGGCACAAGAGGGCCATCTGGGGCAGGGAGGGGACGTGGCTGGGGGCGCAGGAGCGTGAGGAAGCTACTTCCCGGCAATCTGAGCCCTTCAGTCCGCGGGCTCCACCAACCCCTTCAGCTCCTTTCACGACCAGCTTCAGGGGTTTCAGTGTTCGGGCTTTTCATCATCACTGCTGCTCCTCTTGCATGAAAAGACGCCTGTTCATCCCCGCAGGCGGCAGCGCTGGGTACAAGGCAGGCATTAGTCATCAGGAATGTTTCAAATAAACACTCCTGCGAGGAGTGGGTCTCCAAAACAGAGTTCGTGGTGTTCCTCTCCTGCTCCAAGAACTGCTGAGGGCTCCCTAACAAAGCCCAGCCCCTCAGCAGAGCCTCTGGTCTGGCCCCAGCTTCTGCCTGCGGCCTCACCTCCCACTGCACACGCTATCTGATGTTCCCGAAACACATTCTGCACTCGAGGCCTCAGTCAATGTCGGGGAGAGGGGTGGGGGAGGTTTGGAGCGAGGCTCTGCACTGCCCCACCTGGCCACGCGGACACAATGCACCCCCGCCCCGCTTCCAGGGCCCCACTAGGGGTTCCTGGGGTCCTGGGAAGAGCGCTGTGGGTGAGAGGGCCAGGGCCCCCACCAGAACCTAGCACTCTCCTCCAGACTCCACCCAGAGCTGGCTCTGGACAGGTGTGTACTCCGAAGGATTCAGGGCCTTGAGGGTGGGGGACCCCGGATTATTATTATAAAGTGGATTTTAATCCATGGGGGTCTCTGAGTTAGTTACGTGTGCTGAGGTCATCTTTACAAGGAGAAAACAGTTTAATTCTATTACACAGAGTTGATCCTGGATTAGGTGCTTCACAGACACAGAGAAACAAGACACCATCCCCTTACCCTGCAAGAGAGTCTTGTGCAGGTGTTTTGTTTTAAATCCTATTTCTATTTCTTCCCCTCCAAGTTACATAACAACTAATTTTCCTTCTTTTTATTTCAGGTCTACATTTCCTTTATTTTATTTCAACAAGGAAACAAGCAGTGAGCGCCAGGACCAGAGCTCTGGCCTGAACTGAAAAGCTGGCCGACCCCCTCCGCACGGCTCCAGGGGCTCCCCACACAGGCCGGGGGGGCCAGAGGCGCTCAACCCCACCACAGTCAACGTCCGAACTTCCCATCAAGGCTGCCTGCCACCTCAGATGAGCCTTCGCTAACTAGGAGGTGGCCGTGGACGGACAGACAGCAATCTTCTGAGAACTCAACAAATCAAACCAGACTGGGCGACTCTGCAACCCTGACCAGCAGTACACTTGCAGTTTCAGGAAAAAAAAACCTGACAAGAACAGGCCCACAGGGCGCCTGCGTGGCTCAGTTGGTTAAGCAACTGCCTTCCGCTCAGGTCATGATCCTGGAGTCCCAGGATGGAGTCCCGCATCGGGCTCCCAGCTCCATGCGGAGTCTGCTTCTCCCTGTGACCTTCTCCCATCTCATGCTCTCTCTCTCTCTCTCTCTCAAATAAATGAATAAATAAAAATATTTTTTTATTTTTTTTATTTTTTTAAAAGATTTTATTTATTTGACAGAGAGAGAGATCACAAGTAGGCAGAGAGGCAGGCAGAGAAAGAGAGGGGAGGAAGCAGGCTCCCTGCGGAGCAGAGAGCCCGATGCGGGGCTGGATCCCAGGACTCTGGGATCACGACCTGAGCCGAAGGCAGAGGCTTTAACCCACTGAGCCACCCAGGCGCCCCTGAATAAATAAAAATCTTAAAACAAAACAAAAACCAGGCCTTCACCGCAGCTGATACCCTGTGCTGTCCTGGGGAGACTCATCCATGGGTCTTGGGCCACCAGAGCCATGCTAGGCCCTGGGAAGGACAGCATCTCACCTGCGGAGTGATGTGTCACTCAAAACTCTCCGCTTCTCTGTCTTCACATTAATCGCAGAAATCTTTTGACGATTAACTGGGGTCCCAGGTAATCATAATGACAACGACCCTTTCTTGACTTACAAGGCGCGATGAACACAGAACAGCTACCTAGAGAACAAGCAATTCCGTGACCGGCGGGGAAACGCGTTATTCACACTGCCACAGGTTCTTCTGCTATTTTCCCAAACAAGAAGAGTTTTTGGAGATCATCGCTGGTTCTACTTAAATGACCAAGCACAATGTTCTTCCTGGGACCTCTATGCAATGCCATTCCATGGCTCCCAGGAAGGGGAAAGTTCTTCCAGGAAGCATGTAAGATGAAACAGGCTTACTGTAAGAAAGGAAAGCTATTCAAGGAGATCAGCTTAGACCTTTCAGTTGTTTGTTTTGTTTTTTAAGATTATTTATTTATGGGGCGCCTGGGTGGCTCAGGGGGTTAAAGCCTCTGCCTTCTGGGTCATGATCCCAGAGTCCTGGGATCGAACCCTGCATTGGGCTCTCTGCTCAGTGGGGAGCCTGTTTCCTCCTTTCTCTCTCTGCCTGCCTCTCTGCCTACTTGAGATCTCTCTCTGTCAAATAAATAAAATCTTAAAAAAAAAAAAAGATTATTTATTCATTTGACAGAGACAGACAGAGACAGCAAGAGAAGGAACACAAGCAGGGGGGAGTAGGGGAGGGAGAAGCAGGCTTCCTGCTGAGCAGGGAGCCCAATGCGGATCTTGATCCCAGGACTCTGGATCATGACCTGAGCCGGAGGCAGACGCTTCACAACAGAGCCACCCAGGCGCCCCAACCTTTCAGCTCTTGACTTGGATGTAGTTTTCACTGGCTGTGCAAGTAAAATAAAAATGAAGTTTCCACCAGGTTTAATCCAAACACAGCGCACAGGCCAAACTAGCACGCAGAGTCTCTGCACAGTCCTCCAATCTGGTCTCCAGGTAACAGCAAGGCAATACGCTCACATACTCTCACAGAAAATTCGAATGTCACTTATTTACAATCCTTCAATAATGACGATGAGAGCTAATAACTACTGGACACTTAGAACCATCAGATACTTCTGAAATTCTTTAGATATATTAACTCACTTAGTCCTAACAATCACCTAACAAACATTATCTACACTTTATAAATGAGAGTGGTAGGGAATAGTTAGATAACTTGCATAAGATCATGTGGAGGAGCACCTGGGAGGCTCAGTGGGTTAAGCATTTGCCTTTGACTCAGGTGATCTCAGGGTCCTGGAATCAAGCCCTGCACATTGGGCTCCCAGTTTAGCAGGGTGTCTGCCTGTCGCCCTCTGACCCTCCCCGCTCTTGTGCGTCTCTCAAACAAATTTCACTGTCTCTCAAATAAATCTTTAAAAAAAAAAAAAAAATCACATGGAAAGCAAGAGAAAGGAATCCAAATTTCCTAGTTTCACTTTCCAGGGCGAGGTACCTACTGGCCCCCCATCAGGGGAGGGGCTTAGGCTTCTACCCCTTTAAAGATCCACGATAACTGCCATCATTTCCTTAACACTTACTACCTGGTACAAACTTTAAATTATATATTTTTGGGGCGCCTGGGTGGCTCAGTCGGTTAAGCAGCTGCCTTTGGCTCAGGTCATGACCCCAGGGTCCTGGGATGGAGCCCCACATTGAGAGCATTGAGAGGTCGCATTGAGAGGTGGGGGAGGAGAGGTCCCTGCTCAGTGGGGAGCCTGCTTCTCCCTCTCCCTCTGCCTGCCGCTCTGCCTACCTGAGCTCTGTCAAATAAATAAAAATCTTTAAAAAAAAAAGATTTAAAATAAATCATAAAATACACATTTTTATATTCTCATACTTCATCTCCTCAACTACCTGCCAGGAACCACTACTACAAATGAGGAAATGGCCCAGCTCAGAAGACATATTGCCAGGGAGGCACAAAACCCAACAACAGGCCCACCAGGGCACCACGTCTGCCTGGTTGCAGAGTCCCCATTCATCCCACAGATCGCCACCCAACGCCCAACATCAGACTCTGGACACACGATAGCCAAGAAACTACAGACCCAACAGACAGTACAGACAGCCTGCAGCTGGGAACCCAGGGGAGTGACTGCGGAAAGAGCACGTCCTGGGAAGCTGGTTCATTCAGCCACCGTGCAGCAAACCTATGAAACCCACACAGACTCAGAAGTGGCCAGAAGACACAGCACCAACTGCACACCAGTTATTAGAGGGAAGACCTAGGAAAGAACTACTCACGGAGAATGGCTGAGCAAATTAATGCTTCCCGTGTGCCTGTTATGAACCAGAAGCCAGGTGAAGCGGGGGCTGGTGAAGTGTGCGGCAGCGGGCAGGTGCAGTGGATATGTGGGGTTGGGGGCTGCGGGGGGGGGCGGAGGGCCGGATACATTCCAGTTAGCAATAGAAAGTATCTATTTTCTACCACCACCCCCGCCCCCCCCCCCCCCGCACTGGGGATGTATTAGTCAATTTCTGCGAAGTGAATGAGGTCTGAGAAAACACCATCTAACATCCCTACAGCCTGCTTACAAAGACACCTGAACTAGTGCAACGCGCGCTGGAGAACTACTGGCCGCCTTCCCACTTCTGCATACACGTGAACCAGAGCTCATAAAGGCTGCAAATGACAAATAATATTTAAAGGTCCAGAGGAAATCTGGGGCACATCACCGCAAATCAACTCCTCACTCAGATCCAGAAGAGTCTTCTCCGACTACTGGGAGCTACAACAACCATCAATGACCTCTAACCTCCACCCTCACCTGTTCTGTTTTGGTTTTGTTTTGTTCTGCCCCAGCCTGAGGCCAACTCAGCCAGCTCCTAAACCGCACTCAGCCCCCACTCTCAGCACTTGGTGGCCTCGGGCAAGTCACTCACTCTACTTTTCCCGGCCTCAAGCTCTCCGTCTGCAAAATGGGGAAAATACCAGCATCTGGCCGGTACGGATACGAAAAGAGCAGATGGAACAGGAGCTACGTGAAAGCGCTCGGAGAACTTGAAACGCCGTGCAACGGAGGCGAGCGTTGAGAGGCGGCGGCGGGGCGGGGAAGCGCACGCAGAATCTGAAGTTAAGGTCTGGGTCTCAGCTTCGGCGGTAACAGAGTCTGAGCAAGTCACTTCCCCGCTAAACTTCACTCGTCCTAACTCTAAGGCCGGCGGAGATCGGGGAGCAGCGGGACCCGAGCGCCTCAGTCTTCGCAGGGGAGAGGGCTGCGCTGGGGAGACCTTCTGGACCCCTCCCCCCGGGGGCCAGCCCCTCCCCCCGCCCGGGCCGCTCCCACGAATGGGGAGCCCCGGCCTCGCCGCCGCCGCCGCCGCCAGCGGCCTCGCCGTTCTACCCCGAGCGACGGCGCTTCCAACCAGTGTGGACCGCCGAGCGGCCGGGCCCGCGGCGGCGGCCGGGCATGGCCAATGAGGAGCGCGGCTGCGGCAGGGGGCGGGCGCACACGGCGCTCCGCGTCGCTCCCGGGCCGCTCCCTTCCCGCCCCGAGCCCCGCTAGGCTACTGGCCCTGAACACCGGAGGGAGAAAAGGCCACTCACCGCCCCTTCGTCGCAGCCCCGCGCTTCCGGATGAGCTCGTCCAGGGAGATGTCCGCCATCTTGCACCGCCGAGCGACCCGCGAGCTGCTTAGACTACCTCGGCCCTCGAGCCCGCCCCTTCGGCCGCTACGGAGCAACTAGCTGCTTCCGGCGTACGGCGGATGAACTCTCGCGACAGCTCACACCGGGCAAAAACCGGAAGGGGCGGGGAACTTCCGTGAGCCTTTGCGACGCCAGCTGATTATCTGCATACGGTAGTCAGAGTCCCTACCGCTGGTGGTTCTCCCCGGCGAACAAATAAAATGGAAAGGGACAGAAACAGTGAACCAAATGAATAAGATAAACTGGAAAGGAACTGGGCTCTTCGTTCAACGGTCCACTCTGCGGCTCACCGTAGGGCTAATGAGAATGGAATTCGTTACCCAGCGAGTAACACGTGTACGATTTCATGCCTTAAACTTATGAGTAAGGAAAATAACGATTCGGGGTGACGCCCGAATCCTCACTGCTAATGTGAGACGAATTTTTGAGCGGGTAAAGGTCGCCCCTAAGGTGACCCGCCTACTTTGCGGGATGCCTGGGTGATGCGATCTGCCCGTCCCTTTTTTTAATATCGAAAAAGCAGAGCGATCGGGGCGAGTTGGTTGTCGGTAAGTTGTAATTTCGTGGGGTTTTTTTTTTGGCGGCGCAGAACGTCTGCGATTTCCTTATGGGGCCCGCTGCTGCGTGCACCGACACCCAGCGTTTTCCTGATCTTCTCAATTTAGGGACGCGTTTTATTTTTGATCAGGCAAGATCCGTTTTCACACACGGTTCTTGAGCCTTAGATTGGCCATTTCCCCCAGTTCTCAAACTTCTGCCTGGTGTCTGGCCAGCTGCTTATTTGCGGGGGCCCGCGGCACCCACTAGGTGCTCACTTTGTGGCTCATGGGGTGAGACGTCCCGTCCCAGGAGCTGCCCTTCTCGGCGGCAGCACTTTCCCGAGCGAAATCGTCTCACTTCTCTGCGCTTCGGTCTTCCCGATCTACACAGTGGGGCAGATGACAGGCCGCTGCGAGGGTTAAACGGGCCGATCGTTAAAACCTTCCATACGCAGAAGCCTTTTCTACGATGCAGCCCCAGGACCCCACCGCCAAGCTCGGCACGAGGCAGGTGTTCAATACGTGTCTGTTGCATCAATCGGTTGAAAAAAAAAAAATACACGCAACGTCTTTAGAACAACAAAGAGCATATACTGTACTCTGTCGAGTTATTATTTATTTCTATGTGCACCGATGCCAGGGGCTTTCATGTGCTGTTGACAGAACACACATAAAACTCGCATCGGGAGCTCTGTGGGCAAGAGGTGGTCAAGCCAGCGGGTCGGGGTTGGGCACCCGACGGAGGAAGGGAAGCCAGGTCCCACCTGCGCCGCCGCCGCGATCGGGTGCTGGCTGGCCCTCCTCTTCTCAGCTGTACAAGGGACCGCTAATCCCTCCTTCCGTCCTCGCTTCCTCCCTGGAAGTGCGGGGAGGGACGCTGGGAGGAGGTACGAGGAAGGGAGGGCCGGGGCTCGGCCTCCAACCCTCCCCGTGCTGGACCGAGGAGCGCAGGTGCAGAGGAACAAGGGAGGGGGTGGAGGACCGCAGGATTTAAGTCCCTGTCACCCCTTATGTGAACTGTAATAAAGTGACTTAAAGGTTATTTTTAAAGCCAGTTCAGTAAGGTTGTTAACTGACATCAGCTGCCAGCCGAGTGGCCCTCCCCTGGAGGCATGTCGGAGGGTGTAAAGTTTTGCAGGGTGTTGTCTGGTTATCTGAAGGACAGGGATCCGGAATCTGGTCAGGTGGAGGTTGGGGGACTGGGGACGGGCAGTCCCCAGGCGGGGGCCTTCCCAATGCCTGCGCCTGGGACATTCCAGGCCTGGGACGATCCAGGAGGAAAGAGACCCATTACAGTTCTCCCAGGTGGGGCTCCGTTTCTCGTGTGGACACGGGGGCCGTTTTGCCGGGTGTGAACATACAAGGAATGGCCAGGAGCACAGCTGCGCCATAGCTGAAGGGATCTGGTCCTGCTTTCTTTGGAAATAGACCAAGAATCGTGCCCCACTTAGGAAAACCACCTGCTTCCCCGCAGAGACTGGGTGTCTGCCTGCATTTGGGGCTGTGAGGCAAACCCCTAGCTACCCCCCTTCTGGGGGACTTGGGGCAGTATTTACACCCTGCAATGGGCATCATTTTATAAATTCCTTTCCTTTCTTGCTCTTTTATAATATAGTTGGAGCTTTGTGTTGATTTTTTGTTTAAAGATTTATTTATTTGAGAGAGAGAGAGCAGGGGGAGGGGCCAAGGGAGAGGAACCCAAGCAGACTGCCCTGAGCATGAAGCCAGACCCGGGGCTTAATCTCACAACCCTGAGATCAGACCTGAACCAAAACCAAGAATCAGGGGCTTAACCAACTGTGCCACTCAGGCGCCCTGATTTTTAAAAATTCTGTGTAGGCTGGCGATGTTACCTGTGAATCCACTTTAGGATACTAAAGAGGCAGTTAGTTATAAATATTATTTTAAAAGGATGTCAGGTCTGAAAGGGTGGCAAGTCATGAGACAAGGAGAGAGGGTAGGGACCAGGTCCGATCCCTGCCCTTCTAAGCTCGGGGACAGCCCCTTGCGAGCTCGGACAGGTGTGCATTCAAAGCCAGACACGCAAACCTGTTTTCTCATCCTCTAGGAGGGGACCCAGATGAGGAGACCTAATGTGAGCCCAGTGTTCTGCAGTCCCCAGCACACAGTAGGTGTGAAGGGATTCCCAGGCCAAGCCCTTTCCTGCCCACTGAGGAGTCCCAGCCCTGCTCCGGGATGTGGGCCCGGGCCAGAATGGAAGGTAAGAGGAGAGGAGAAAGGGACTCCCTGGTCTGAGGCTCAGCTTCTTGCACACTTCCCCATCCTGTTCTTTTCCCCAGTCCAGCCACGCTGGCCTTCACGATATTCCTGGAGATGTCCAGCAGGTCTCTGCCACAGGGCCTTTGCACTTGCTGGTCACTCCCTCTAGAGCACATCTAGTGTGCTTCAGTTCCAGCCTCATTTCCACTGTCCCCTCAGTGACCTGCTTTCTCCCATCTGTTTCTGGGGAGTGACCAGCAAGTGCAAATGCCCTGGGGAAGGTAATTCCACAAGCTTGTTCCAAACGCAAGGCGTCTGCACTTGCTGTTCCCCCCACTTTGAACACCTACCCCAGCAGGGCCAGCTTCCTTGTCTCTTTAAAAAGAGAGTAGTCGGGACGCCTGGGTGGCTCAGTTGGTTAAGCAGCTGCCTTCAGCTCGGGTCATGATCCCGGCGTCCTGGGATCGAGTCCCACATCGGGCTCCTTGCTCATCGGGGAGCCTGCTTCTCCCTCTGCCTCTGCCTGCCATTCTGTCTGCCTGTGCTTGCTCTCTCTCCCTCTCTCTCTCTGACTAATAAATAAATAAAACCTTAAAAAAAAAAAAAAAAAAGAGAGAGAGTAGTCCTCACTCCCATGCTGCCCTGTGGCCTGATTTCTGTATTGGCATTTACCATCTCACAACACTGTCCAGCATCTGTCTTAAAGCTTTCTCACGGGCACCCCAGGAGTAGGAGAGGGTGTGCTGGGGCAGCTGCAGCCGAGTCTCTGGCCTTTGGAACAGTGCATGAAGGAACAAGGAAGCTAGCATCCCCCTTGCAGCCTCCCACAGAGACACTGATGCCTGCCTTACCTCGGAACCCACCTCCAACCTGAAGGCCGTTCTCTCCAGCAGAAACGGAGGCTAGTGATCTCTCCCTGATTTTCAGGGCTGGCCAGAGGGGAAAGCAATGGGGACATACAGAGTTGTACCACCCAGGGCTGGAGAGAGCTTTTCACACTGCTGAGATGGTATGAATGAGGCTGGGCCTGAGGGGGCTGGGCACAAAGGGAGGGTATCAAGGTTGGACTCCCAGCGTCCACACGCCCTGACCCGGCTTTCTGTCTCCAGGAATCTAGCCTCAAAAAAATCATCTGAGGGGCACTGGGCTGGCTCAGTTGGCAGAGCACGCTACTCTTGATCTCAAGTTTGTGAGTTCAAGCCCAACACTGGGTGTGGAGCCTCCTTTAAAAAAAAATAAAATCAGGGCACCTGGATTTTTACGTTGTTAAATGTCTGTCTTCCACTCGGGTCATGATCCTGAGGTCTGGGGATCGAGCCTCACTTCGGGCTCCCTGCTTGGCAGGAAGCCTGCTTCTCCCTCTCCCACTCCCCCTGCGTGTGTTCCCTCTCTCACTGTGTCTCTGTCAAATAAATAAGTAAAATCTTTAAAAAATTTTTTAAATCGTCTGAAAAGAGAGTGAAGAGGGCTACCTCACTACCACACTACCTCACAAAGTCCACACATTGGAAACAGCCTAACTGTCCAAGGATAGGGGATTTGCTAAAAATAAATCATGATCCACGTGGGCTTATGGAGAATGTGTGAACCCAGCGAAAAGCCCATCTGATAAGGTGGGGGAGCAGCAGGCCGCGATGGGCCATGTGGTTTCATCAGAGCGACCGGTGTCTGCCTCTGGATGTCCAGTATTTTCTTCCTGTGCATAGTTTTCTGTCCAGGACAAACACCGACACACATTAGAAATAAGCGCTGGGCCCCTTCCTGTCTCCTCTCCCGCTGCCCCCCCCCAACAATGACACAAAGAACAGAGGCTCAGGGAACTGCAGAAGGGTTAGTAGTAGCAAAGTTTTATTTTAACGTTTTTTTCTGCTCATAAATGATTCTGAAAAAGCCCATACGCAAGAGGCGAACCCACCCTGTCTAAAGGCAACATCGAGGTCACTGAGAATGCTGCTCAGACAAAAGCTCCCCTCTGCCGGGTGCAGCAGGAGGCGTGGGTCTGGGACAGAGGAATAAATACATGGGTCTTAGCTCCGCCATCAGCGCTGGCGGCCCAGGGCCCGAGGCGGGCCCCCACGCTGCCGGCCTGACAGCTGGAAACGCCCAGAGCTGCCTGAACCCTGAACGCTCCAGTGCTCTGGGGAAGATGCGGAGGCTTCCAGAGGGCCCGCGTGCCCACCAGAGGAGCCCTCGGCCAGGCCCCGCCTCCTACTCCGGCCGGGGGGTGGCGGGGGGGGGGGGGGGCGGCTGGTAGGGGGGACCAGCTCCCTGCTGGCTGGGGCCTGCCTGGGTCCTGGGGTAGAGGTGCAGACTCCCAACCCCATGGCCCCTGCCCAGAGGACTTTTGGGTGTCACCTGTCATGTAGTGTCAGGTGCTGAGGCCTGGCCATGGCCCTAGGCAGGTAGTGAGGGGTGGCTGGTGAGGGTCCGGAGGCAGTGGCTGGGGCATCCCTGGCACCTGCCACTCTGGGCTGCCTGTACGTTTGTGTTTATTTCCAGACTGTGGTCTGCCCTGGGAGGGGTGCGCGGAGCAGAGCCCTTGCAGCCTTGGCCTAGTAGTGTGTGGGTGGGTGAGGTGGAGGGAGGGGAAGGCCGGGGCCCGGCCCAGCATCCCCGGTGAGAACCGATGAGGGCCAGACAGGAACCCGCCCCAGAAGGTGGCCAGCGGTGGCCCACGTGTAGAAGAACCCTGCTCCCAAAAGGGTCCCTGCGGGGCCAGCTCAGCGGGATACCCAGCCCAGCACAGGCAGGCCAGGCTGAGCCTGGGGCCACAGCATGAGATGTGGGGGAAGGAAGTGATGTTACAGAACGGTGGCAGGAGGAGTGGGTGTGGACAGGGCACGGTGAGTACGCAGGGCAGGCGTGCAAGCAGCCAGGGCCTGGCCCTCAGAAGGCGAAGCAGCGCTCCTTGGGGTGGCCCACGCGGTCCAGGTTGGGCAGGCAGGCATACTGGATCATGGGCGGGGGGCCGCACATCAGTATCAGCGGCTCCGCCTCCGGGGGCGGAAGGTGGTCCCGGATCATCTCTTCATTTACGAAGCCCTGGCTGTAGTCCCAGGCTGCGGGCAGAAGACCAGGTGAGTCCCAGCGTGGCCGTGTGACAGACCCACGACTGCCCACCTGCCCCAGGCCCCCTCCCCCTGACCGTCACTCTTGTGTGCTGTGAATTTCTCCCTTCTTTCAACAAACACCGAAGAATGAAGAGGCTGATCCAGAGCAAATGCTCGTTCTGGGCCCCCCGCCCCAGCCTGGCTCCCCCGGAACAAAACAGCTAGTGAGCAATGAACAAAATGGCAATAAGTGCATGTCTGTCACTATCTACTTTAACTGTAAATGGGCTAAATTCTCCAATCAAAAGTGGCTGAGTGCAGAAGAAACAAGACCTGTCTATACAGACACATAAATCAATGGAACACAACAGAAAGCCCAGAAATAGACACAAGGTTATATGGTCAATGAGTCTTCAACAAAGGTGGCAAGAATATGCAATGGGGAAAAGCACAGTCTCTTCAATGCTGTTGGGAAAACCAGACAGCTACATGCAAAAGGATGAAACCAGACCATTTCTGTTCAACACACACACACACACACACACACAAACCCTTAAAATGGGTTAAGGATCTAAATTTGAGACCTGAAACCATAAAAACCCTAAAAGAGAACATAGGCAGTAATTTCTGTGACATCAGCCACAGCAACACTTTTCTCCGTAGAGGACCCGAGGCACGGGAAATTAAAGCAAAAGTAAACTATTGGGACTACATCAAAATGGAAGCCTCCTGCACAGCAAAGGAAACAACCAACAAAACGAAAAGACAACCTATGGAATGGGAGCAGATATTTGCAAATGACCTATCTGATAGAGAGTTAGTATCCAAAATATATAAAGAACTGATACAACTCAACATCCAAAAACAAACAATCCAATTAAAAAATAGGCAGGAGACATGAACAGACATATCTCCAGAGACATCCAGATGGCCAACAGACACGTGAAAAGGTGCCCCACATCACTCATCATCGGGGACATGCAAATCATAACTACAATGAGATACGACCTCACACCTGTCACAAACGCTAAAATCAAAAACAAGGAAACGAGGCATTGGCAAGGACGCGGAGAAAAAGGAACCTCGCCGCTGCGGCACACGGGGGCGGCCACTGTGGAAAACAGTATGGAGGTGCCTCAAAAAATTAAAAAATGATCCAAGAATCACGCAACTGGTTATTTACCAGGAGAACACAAAAACACTCATTCAAAGGGAGACATGCACCCTGGTGTTTATAGCCACGTTATTTACAAAGCCAAATTCTGGAAGCAGCCCAAGTGTCTGTCCGCTGAATGAGTAAAGAAGACGTGGTATGTACATACAATGGAGTATTAGCCATAAAACGAATGAGATCTTGCAACGTGGAAGGATCTAGAGAGTTTGCTAAGTGAAGTCAGTCAGAGAAAGACAAATGCCAGATGATGTCGCTCGTACATGGAAATTAAGAAAGAAAACAAACAAACAAAAACAACAACAGACAAACCAGAAAACAGACTGTGGAGAAGGAAGAGATGGTTATCAGAGGGGACTGGGTGGGGGGATGGGCCAACAGCAGGTGACGGCGAGAAGAGGACCGATCCCGATGAGCACTAAGTACCGTACAGAATTGCTGAATCACTTCCCTGCACACCTGCAACGTAACACGGTAAGTTAACGACACTGGAATTAGAGGAAAACAAGACCTGTGCGTACACGGCCTACCAGACACTCACTTTAGGTATATGTAAGGACACACACGGAAAAACATATTCTATGCATACGGAAACGAGAAGAATGCTGGAGTAAGTAAGAGACAAAGACGGCATGCCGACAAGGACAGGACACCGGTCAGTATCTGTGCACACACGAAGTACATGATCACATGAGGCGAACACTAATAGATCTAAAGGGAGAAATAGCAACACAATAATAGTAAGGGATTTTTTAAGAAAAGATTTTATTTATTTATTTGACAGAGATCACAAGTAGGCAGAGAGAGCAGGGGAAACAGGCTCCCCGCTGAGCAGAGAGCCCGATGCGGGGCTCAATCCCAGGACCCTGAGATCATGACCTGAGCCGAAGGCAGAGGATTATTTAACCCACTGAGCCACCCAGGCGCCCCAGTAATAAGGGATTTTTTAAAAATATTATTTATTTACTTATATATCTGAGAAAGAGAGTGAGTGAGCAGGAGGGAGAGGGAGAGAGAATCTGAAGCAGACTCTGCCCGATGTGGGGCTCGATCCCACAACCACAAGAGACCACAAGTTCATGACCTGAGTCGAAATCTAGAGTTGGACGCTTAACCGACTGAGCCACCCAGGCACCCCAATAGCAAGGGATTTTAATACCCCGCTTTTATCAATGGATAGGTCACCCAGACAGAAAATCCATGAGGAAACACTGGCCTTAAAGAACATGTCAGACCAGATGGACCTAAGACACTTATAGAACATTCCATCCAAAAGCACACATATATCCTGCTCGCGTGCACACCTCCCAGCGGTCAGATGCCATCAGCAAGAAGACAGGAAACAAGTGTCCACGAGGATGTGGAGGAAAAGGAACCCTCGTGCACTGTGGGTTTGGGAACGCAAACCCGTGCAGCTGCTGCGGAAAGCACTGCGGAGGGTCCCTCAAAAAATTAAAACTAGAATCACCATTGGATCCAGCAGTTTCATTTCTGGATATTTATCTGAAGAAAATGAAAACTAACTCAGAAAGACATCTGCACCCCAACTTCCCTGCGGCACTCTTTACGGCACCCAAGATACGGAAGCAGCCATCAATGGATACAGGGGTAAAGAAAGTGTGTTATAAATACTGTCAGCGGGGCGCCTCGGTGGCTCAGTGGGTTAAAGCCTCTGCCTTCGGCTCAGGTCATGATCCCAGGGTCCTGGGATCGAGGTCAGGATCGGGCTCCCTGCTCAGAAGGAAGCCTGTTTCCCCCTCTCCCACTGCTTGTGTTCCCTCTCTTGGTGTGTCTCCTTTTGTCAAATACATAAATAAAATCTAAAAAAATAAAAACAAAGACAAAAAAAAAAAAAAAACCACCAAAAGCAAGAAACCCCAAGCTCACAGATACAGAGAACAGATTTTGCTGGTTGCCAGAGGCAGGGGTAGGGAAGAAAGAATCGGGTGGAGGAGGTTTTAGTCTATTTTTAAGAACTTGCACAGGATGAAGTTCTATTTGCTAGTGTATAAAATGTGCAGGTATAGAAGCTAGCTCGATTTTACCACGACTTTTTTTAATAGTATATTTTTCTTTATACGCATGCTGAAGGTGGCTTTGTGGGGAAACACAGGTCAGCTGTATTTGCCGCGTGAGCTCCCCGCACCACCTGTTCCTTCACGGCCACGCCCGCAGGCCACTGTGCCCTCTCTCAGCACCCAGAACTGGGTGATACCTAACGCGGTAGCGGTGCCTCAACTCCTCTTGAGCGGTGGGTCACGGTAATAATAAACGTTAAGTGTTAAGATACTCGACTGCCCACCTGCTAACGGGTTCCTGTTCCAATGGTCCCCAGCAGGGAGCACTCTGGGGAGGGGGGCACTGCCATGTGTCACCACCAGGGGTCAGCACTGGCTCCCTCCTCTGCGACCGGGAGTGCTAAGCCTAGCCTACCCCAGGACGAGCAGGGAGGAAACATCCCACCCTTGATGGAGACGCCGATACGAGAGAAACACGTTCCTTTCTTTAGGAAAAGAAGCAACTCCAGGACCAGGTGCCCCGGTCAGACATCCCTGCCTGACCCTACAGCTGACCCGTGAACAGCAGGGGTGGGAAACACACACACACACACACCCCTGCACGGGTCCACTCACGTGTGCACTTTTGGCCATTAGTGCAGCACCATCGATAGATTTTCCTTATGATTTTCTTGTTAACATTTGCTTCTCTCTATGCCAGTGACCGTAAGAACACCACGCGTACCGTACAAGACCGGCGTTAATCGACGGTTTGTGTTCTCGGTAAGGCTGCTATGGGTGGTTACATTTTTGAGGAGTCAAAGTTCCATGTGGAATTTCGACAGCACATGGAGGTCAGTGCCCCGAATTCTGGTGTTGCCTAAGGGCAATGGTACTTTGTCGGGCTCACTAATCAGCTGCTACTTGGCTCTGTAACTTTGCTAATAAATCTGTTTCCTGGCCGCCTACCCCTCCCCCGCTAGAACATCAGCTCACGGGCCAAGCTGGCTTCAGGAACAGAGCAGACAAGGAGCCTGGTTCCGATGGGCGGCCAGCAACCAATCCTGGGGCACTGCTGCCAGGTCCTCAATCCATCCTACGCCTACGCCTAGCTCTAGGCCAGGAGGCCCAGCACCCGGCTTGATCACCCCAGGAGGGCTCCTCTCTCCAAGATGGACCCAGACGACCCAGCTCAAGAGATGGGCACCTGCCCCTAGAGCCCATCCTCTTGGTTCTGGGGGAAGCGGAGGTGGGATATTCCCCACACCACGGTTGAGCCCGGGGAACCGTGGGCCCCAGGGGAAGGGGGCGGCAAAGCAAGGGCAGGGTGGCCGATCACACACTGGGGCCCATGAGGAGGCTACAAAAATGTCCAGTTTCCAACATCTAGAAGTTTCCAGTGAAGATGCAGGTCCTTGCTTCTCTTGAAAAGTAGAAGGGCCTGACCTATAGGGCTGCAGTCACAGTACTCCCTACAGTGTCCCAACTCTGGAGCCAAATACCACCAGCGTCACAGACCAAGAAGCCTGAGATTCTGCTCTTCTCCCAGCAACGAAATTGAGGTATTTCCTGTACCCACATCTCTGCCTACAGCAGAACTTAACTCCCAGGGGGCAGCCTTGTTTTGGGTTTTGTAGGCAGCCCTCCTTTGCTGCCTCCTACGTGATTTTGGCATACTGGATGGGCACAAGGAGGGTCACTGTACATCCGCCCAGCCTAGACCACCCCACCCAGGGCCCAGGGAGAAAATGGTGACACGCCTTACAGGGTACAAACGGCACAGCAGGAGCAGTTGCCCCTACCCCCCGCAGTAACCCTGCTGACCAGCCCCAGAGTAAGCCCCCCACCAAGGGCAGAAGGCCTCAGGCTCTGGAGAAGGATGTGAGTTCAAGCCCACTGCCGGTGTTTTCTAGCTGGGTGCCGCGGGACACTTACTTGCCCTCTCTGATCTGTCCCTCATCTGTGAGATGGGGTCACACCACCTCCCTCTCAACAAGCCACCCTGAGCACCACCGGAGACCAAGTGAATCAAAGGCCCGGGACCCCCCACGCAGCCTAGCCCACCCAGGGCTTCCGTCTCTCACCTTCAGGGGCTTTGTCCACAGTGTACCAGAGCTTGAAGCGAGCAGAATGTTCGTTCCTCAGTTCCTCTAGCTCGGGCCGCAGCAGGATGTCCTTCTCAGTCTGGGGGTGGGGGGAACAGGGCCCGGAGGTCAGGGAGGACTGCCTTTGAGACACTTGTCACCTGGATGGCTCACCATCCCACCCACCGTGGGCCACACGCATGGCAAAGCTTGCAGGATGGCAGGACGGCAGCCCAGCGGAGCCGACCCAGACTCCCCGAAACGCGTGCCCCGTTCTCCCAATCTCGCCCAACCGCCTCGACGCTGCAGACAATGTTCATTCCAGATGTTTCCTACCACTGTGGGGACATGTGCCCTGATATAACAGGGAGTGGAGGAAGCAAACAGCTGAACACAGGTGCAGTCAAATACAGAACAGGAAGGACTGGGAGGAAACAGGCCAAAACCTGCGCCACGACTGTCCCACTTAAAATAGCGGTGACAGGTCCCTCATCCCTCGGATAAGTCCCCTTACGTTCTGGTGTCTCAGGCTGCACAGCCTTAAATCGGGAAATACAGACAACTACTCCCCAGATCACACCTGCTCCTTCCACAGCCTCGCCCACACTGTGACCTACAGCACCCCACTCTGCTCCCACCGGCTTTGTCCAGTTGGCACGTGGCCCTGTCCTCAGCCTGGTGTTACCTCCTCCAGAAAGCCTTCCTGGACTCCCCAGGGGCATCAGTGACCTACTCCTCACACAGCCCCTCTGACCACAGGCCTCTCTGCCTCGTGCATTTCCAGGTCACTCCCAGACAGATGGGGCTCCTCGGGGCCAGGGGGCGGCCTGACCGACCTCAAGGGACTGTTATACACTGGGCACCAAAGGGCTCTGTCCACTCACAAACCACTCCTGAGGCCCTGGGCTGGAGCAGAAGGGCCCTCCCCAGGGAGGCAGACCACAGGAGATCCAGGGAAGCATTTTCTCTGTCCCAACAGCACCGCGACATGCTCAGCAAAAGGGACTACTGGGGGCGCCGATCACAGCGGGGACCAGGCAGGAAAGGACAGGTAATATGAAGCCACAGCAATTAGTATTTCCTGAGCCTGAGCCTGTGTGGAGGGGGTCTTGCTGACAGGTGGGACCAACCCAGCTCAAGGTACACCTGTACCTTGAGTACCCTGTTCCTCAGTGTTCCCCTCCAGGAAATGGGCTGTAGGCAGAACGCATGAGCCTCTGCGGGTCCCAGGGAGGAGGATATTGACTGTTTTTTCCATTTCTTTTCTCTTCTTATTTTTTTCCTTTTTTTAAATTTATATTTAATTTAATTTAATTTAATCTAAATTTTTCCGTGCCCAGTGTGAAGCCCAATGTCGGGCTTGAACTCACAACCCCAAAATCAAGACCTGAGCTGAAATCAAGAGTCAGACTCTTCATCGACTGAACCACCCAGACGCCCCTTGTTTCTCCCATTTCTCAGGGGGACAGTGGGCCCCTCCTGCCCTGATCGAGTGAGGACAGGGCCAGGGCTCAAGCTGGACAAGCTCTGCGTAAAAAATGCCAATATATGGAGGTAAAGAAAATCCCGGGATGGCCTTCAGAGGTAACGAGTGTTAGGATCTTCTGTGTATCTTTTAGACTTCAGTTTCTAATGAGTACCTATACTCTCTTTTTAACAAAAATGGGATCAGAGCATGCATGCCGCCTTGCCGCCTGCTCTTCTGAGGTCAGAACACTCTGCGGACCCTCCACGTGGCATCAGCCTCTGAGTGCCCGCACCTCCCTTCCCAGCTGCCCAGCCCCCGCCGGACAAAGGGACTGCCGGTTCCCGACCGAAGGGCATTTAATTGTCTGGAACACCCTCCTTCATAAACAATGTCTCTCTGCCCATTCTCCCTGCCCTACCCATTCCTTAGATACATCTTGGAAAGTGGAGTTCGGGCAGAAAGCTCCACGTGGGTAAGGCACTGGAACACGCAGGTTTCAGCAACGCACACAGCAGCAGCGCGCCCAGGCCTGACCCTCTTCCCACGCCTTTGCTGGCTCCGGGTAATAACCATTTAATATTGGCCAGCCGGATGGATGGGAAGTAACCCTCACGTTTTATTTATCTACACATTTATTTTATTTATTTTTAAAAAGATTTTATTTATTTATTTGACAGACAGAGATCACAAGCAGGCAGAGAGGCAGGCAGAGAGAGAGGAGGAAGCAGGCTCCCTGCTGAGCAGAGAGCCCGATGCGGGGCCGATCACAGGACCCCGGGATCACGACCCGAGCCGAAGAAAGAGGCTTTAACCCACTGAGCCACCCAGGCACCCCTCTACACATTTATTTTAAAGGTTATTCATTCATTCATTTTTTTAAAGTAATCTGCACGCCCAATGTGGAACTCGAACCCATGACCCCAACATCAAGAGTCCTGTGCTCTTCAAAGGAGCCAGCCAGGCACCTGTATTTTCTATTATTTAAAAAAAAGATAAGGGGTGCTTGGGTGGCTCAGTCGTTAAGACTCTGCCTTCGGCTCAGGTCATGATCCCAGGGTCCTGGGAGCCCCTGCATTGGGCTCCCTGCTCAGCGGGAAGTCTGCGTCTCCCTCTCTCACTCCTCCTGCTTGTGTTCCCTCTCTCGCTGTGTCTCTCCCTGTCAAATGAACAAGTAAAATCTTTAAGATAAATAAATAATTAAATTTAAAAAAAAATTGAAAGATGCGATTGTCACTGGCTCTAGTTGTATCTTATTAGTCTGAAAAGACTCTCTCCATATTGGTGATGCAGTGGGGACTTTCCCCAGCTGTTTACCGATCTTACTCATAATGGGCTTTTCTCACTTGTAAGCAGATGGGCTCTCCCTTCACGTCTCGCTTAGATGGCCTGTCCCCATTCATTCACTCAATAAACCCATAAAAATGCTCACCCAGCACCCCTAAAGTTTCACTTTTCTACGTGTACATTCTTTAACCTCAACCTCATTTTACTGGAAGGTTAAAGCAGGGATCTACTCCGCATTTCCCAAATTCATAGCCACTAACCCCACACTCCTTTCATCTCTCCCCTCCATTTGAAATGCCACCCGCACCACCTGCGAAGTGTTGTATGTACTTGGGCCTGTTTCTAGGCCAGTGCTGTTCAATGGAACTTCCTGCAGTGATGGGGATGGGAATGTTCTAGATCTGTTATCCCACACAGTAACCACAAGCCACAGAACCCATGAAACGTGGCTATGAAGATCAGGAAAGTGAGTTGTAAATTTTAGTTAATCCTCATTAACTTAAATGTAAATACCTACATGTTCTAGCATGTTCCAGCACAGTCCAGACTCTCCACATGTTACCAGAACTGCTTTAGGTCCAGTAAGCCTGGCTGTCATGTGGGGGGTCAGGAACCACTGTTCTTGGTATTGATGCTTTACTAAACCCCATCCAGTGAGCTGGATTCTTCCTTCTTTCTTCTCAAAACTTTCTCTGCTGTGCACACTTTGTCCTTACATAACACTAACAACTTCTTTGCTCTTTGTCACTCTCCTGCCATCACGGGCGCACACTGCAACTTCCAAAGGCTATGTGACTTCCCACATCACCCCAACCCAGTGCAAACACAGGTATGGAGTCCAGCGACTTCTAGTACGCCAAACATTAGAAAGGTTTGCAAACATGTAAAACGGGACAGAATTTTCTAAAATACAGTGATTTTTCATAAAATATGCTCTGGCTCAAGTCCTGGTCCCACTACCTCCTGGGAGACGGGTCAGTCAAGTCCCTCTCTGGGTATCCGAGCTAGAAAGTGAGCAATTTCACGACCCTGGCTAGTGGGCCAATGGGCTGGAGGATGCCCTGTATGGGCAACACAGGGCTGACAGCCCCCGGAGACTAGTCCAGCAGCACTAAATGGAACCACGGTCCTCCCACACCCACCAGCTTGGAATTAAAGGCCCTTCCCACCCACCACCCGCCTCGATCAAAGCCGCCTCGATCAAAGCCACCTCGGTTGGCCTCAGGGCGGTTTACTGCAGCTGTGGGAGTCCAAGGACCTTACAGATGGACGGGACAGAGCCTGGGCCCGAGGGGCCCTGGGATAAGCTGACCTGAACCATATCTGAGAGGCACAGCAGGCCTGGGTGTGGCCCCCACACTGTTGGGGGACAGGTGTCTCATCTCAGCATTCCCCCAACAGGGACCACTTTGCAAAACCCACATATTCAGTCATAAAACACTGAATCTACGAAGACTCCTGGGGTAACCCTGCTTCATCAGCTAATTCTACAGTGAGGGAGCGGAGCTCAGAGAAGGCGAGTGGTCCATCCAAGGCCACACAAGAGGCCAGGGCAGAGAGCTGGCAGGCGTGGGGAGGACATGCGCTCGCGAGTCAGAGAGACCAGGTCCAAACCCAGCCCCAACACCCCCGGCCCAGGGCCTTGCCTGTGGCTGTGCTCTCGGCCCCACGGGCTCCAGGCCAACCCCCGGCCCGGCCAGTGTTCTTCCACTCTACTGCCGGCCCCTAACTCTGCCTGTGGGGCAAGTGCTGAGGCTCGGAGGAAGCAGCCAGGGAGCAAATCCCAGGTTGTGGAGGGCTCCGGGTGCCTCGTGCCCTTGGCCCCTGAAGCAGCCCCACTGGGGTCAGACACCGGGCCCCAGACTGGAAAGCCGGGCCCCCCCCCCGGCCACAGGAAGGCTGCCCATGCACCGGGTGCTCAGAGCACCCACAGTCCAGCCACGGAGCCGCCCAGACCCTCTGAGCAGCACCCCTCCCCACGGGAGCCTGGCTTGCGCATCTTGGGGTCACCTACTGACCTGGTTGGCAAACAGGAGGTGGCACACGGTGGGGTCATGTGGGTCTTTCATGATGGCGCGGATCACCTGCAGCATCGGGGTGATGCCTACAAAACAGCAGCACCCCCCACGCACTGAGTGAGCACCTGCTGTATACGTACCCCCAGGCCCAGTGCCCAGTGCCAGACAGGCAGGGGGCGGCATGGAGGGGAAGTGCCAGGACAACCAGGCCTGGGGGCCTGCCCTCAGGGAGCTCACAACTGCTTATAATCCGTGCCGCGTCCCATGGTTTGAACCTAAACGTTGACTCCCACCCATGACATCGCCCGCCAGGGGCTCAGCAAGGGGCTCTGGGACCACAGACCCGTCCCGCCAGCGATCATGCCGACCGACTTCACTGTCTTGATGACGGGGTTGGACTTCTTGTCTGGACGGATGGCAAACTTCCCTGCGGAGAGAAGGGAGAAGGGGAGATCCCAGCTCTCAAACATGCCACGCCTGGGGCCGGACAGGATGGGAGCAAAGCCAGCCGAGAGGAGCAGGAGGATGAGCCTTTCGTTCCTACTGCAGACGGTGCAGGGGTAGGAGGCGGGCCTGGGGACCCAGAAGTGCTCTGGCTGGATGCTTCCGCTTAATAGGTTTCAGGCAAACAAAGCTGATCCGTGGGCTGCCAGTCTGCAGCCCTTGGGGTGACCAATTCCCCTCCGAGACAGCCGAGGAAACCGGTCCCCCAATAGGGGTCCCCCACCCAGACAGCAGCAGACCCAGCATTCAGCATGCCCGCCGGGGCTCTGGGCACTCCAACCCAAATCACCTTTGCCCTGGTAGACCAGCAGCCCGTTCGGGCCTCGGAACTCAATGGTGTCGCCAATCTTCATGTTTTCCAGGTACTGGGACATCTTCCCTCCAGCAGGGAACTTGGGATGGGTGTCTTTGAAGTAAACCTACAAGATACACCCACAGTCCTCGGGCGCTGTTCTCAGGGTCACCGGGCTGAGCTCTGGGCCGCAGGGGGAAGGAGGCTTCTGGGGTTCTCTGTGGCCTGTGTGTGGCTCTCTCACACGTAAGGCCCCGTCCACCAATCTCAACTCACCCATCTGCAGGCCCACCCCCCAGGAGTCTGCCTTTCCCTAACAGCCCCCCTGAACACCAAGCGTCCGCCTGGGGAACAAGGCCCCCAACCCGAGGGCTCGATGTATTAACGTCCTGCCAAGAACGGTCTCCGTGCCCCCTCCTGATGGGAGATTCCCATGCTGGGAATTCAGCACAGACAAGGCTCTGGGAAGTGGGCTTAGCCCCACCCCTCCCTTGCGTGTTCTGTTCGTTCCATTCTGTGCTGTCATAAAAACAGTGTTTCTGGAACAACTTTCCTCCCTGTGCCCTGTGGGACTTCCCCTTTGAAAGAAAGGAAGTTCTACAAGAAAGAGATGGGGAGACGGTGCACAGCTCGCCCCGCCCAGGGCTGGGGTGCCGGGCCTCGAGGGGACGGCTAGGGAGGGACCAGCAGCCCAAAAGGCCTGGGCCCCTGGGGAGAAAGAAGAGCTGGTCATGGCCATAGCACAGGGGGGTGTCAACATGGAAGAAGCACAGGGACAGGGAGGGAGAGGCAGAGCCACGTGCGGGCCAGCCCTCTGGCTTTTGTCCAGGGCCAATGGGGAGCAGGGAGCAAGGTCTCTGAGCCAGAGGGGGCCCGGTCTTCCTGAGTTTCCCATCCTCTACCTGGATCCCACCCCCCAACTCCCTAATATCTTCTCCACATTCGGCTAGAATGATTCCAACAAGAACAGATCTTGAACCCTCAACAGCTTCCCTTCCTTCTGGACAAACCCCCAAACCTTACCGCCCTCCCCCAACCGCCCTGCCATCCCTCCTCTTGTCCTAGGAAGCATCTTCATCTCCTTCAGACCTCAGGGCCTTGGCACTGGGAAGGTCCTTCTCCCTCCTCTCTGTCCTTGGCCTCCACGTCTCAGCCCAGGGAAGCAGCTCCCATCACCCCACCTGACCCACTCTGCCATGCCCGGTGCCCGGTCTCCTGTGTGAGAGGAGCAAGGGTGTCCACTCTCCAGGCAAAGACAGGCTCTTGAGCCTGCGCCTGGGCCCCCAGTATAATCTAAATGACACCGAGCTAAGGAGGGCCCAGGCCCAGCTCCCCTCCTGCCTTCACAGACCCAGGGCCTCAGCTGTGGCCCAGCGGGAGGGGCCTCTGCCTCTGTCCTTCCACCCATGAGGGGCCCAGTGAGGGGCCTGCACAGTGCAGTTAGGACAGTAAGCCCGGCCCCCGGGAGTGTGGGGTCAGGGTGGCCATGGGGGTTTGGGCCTCTCCGGGGAGGGTCTCCAACACCCCACCCACCCCCACTGGCCTGGGCTGATCGCATGTGTCAGACGGGCCGTCTGGGAACATGGATCGTTCCGCAAAGCTTCTGCTTCTAATTTCACAAAAGTATACTGTGCAACGACTGTCATTTCTCTTTCCGCTCAAATGTGATGATTTTTTTTTTTTTTTTAGAGAGAGCACATGCGAGACAGACCATATACATGCAAGTGGGGGGAAGGGGCAGCGGGAAAGAGAATCCCAAGCAGACCCCACGTTCCGCGTGGAGTCCGACTCAGGGCTCGATCGCACAATCCTGAGATCATGACCTGAGCTGAAATCCAGAGTCGGATGCTTGACAGACCGAGCCCCGCGGACGCCCCTCAGTGTGGTGATTCTTCAGATCCTCGCTGGCTGTGTCTCTGGTCTCAGGGCTGCCTCCCCCTTACAGCATGCACCTACCCCTGCCCGTGAGGGAGCCAAGCTCCCCAGACAACAACCCGAGCTACTCACATCACTCCTGAGGGGGCTTTGGGCTATCTCTTAGGAAAACGTGCTCGGGAAAGGACCGGCTGGTCACCGACACCATGTGACTGAGCGCGTCGGAGCGGGCCCCCTGCGGCCACAACCGGACACCCAGTGCCCTAGGCCTTGCCAGTCTAAGGGCAGGCAAGTGAGCTCTGCACGAGCTGGTCAACCTTCCCAGTTTCTCTTCTGCAGAAGACCCTCGCTGAAGCTGCTCCTCCCGGACCCCAGGCCCTGCCCGCTGCCCCTGCCTGTGCTGGGAAACTCCAGTTCACTTTCATTTAGAACCCGGCATGAGGGAGCACCAGGCCCTCAGAGACCGGGTTACAGGGGATGTGGTCGCCCCGGCTCCCACAAGGCCATGGCCCCAAGACCTCACCTTGATGACCAAGTCCACAAAGCCCTTGTCGTCATCACTGGAGACAGGAGTGTAGGGCCGAATGACCAGGTTTCCATCGATCCGAGCCGAGAGGTAGATGTGCTGGCCTGCAGGATAAGATGGGGGGATTCTGGTCCCAGAGGGTCCGCGGACTACCTCTGCATGGTGCGCTGGTCTAGTCAGCCATCGCCCTGTGCCCCACCCTGTCCTCAAGAGGCCGGCCTGGCCTAGACTCCAGGGCCCCCTTCACGCCCCCACAGGGCTTCCCATCATGTCCCAGCTTCCTGCTGTCACACCTCTGCTCCTGCCGGAGATACTGTCGGGGACACCATGGATGTCCCCTCTCATTCAGACACTCATTGTCAAAGGGCCCGTGTGGCTGTCACTTGGTCCTTGAAGACTTCCCCACTCTCCCTAGTTCAAGAGCAAAGCTCCCAGTTCTCTGACCCAGCCTTCAGCTCCACTCACCGACGGGGAGGCCCAGGATGTGCTGGGGTGACGGCAGGGCGAAGCGGAACCGCCGGGTGTCGTGGCTGATCACCTGCGAAGAGGCACCTGTTAGCACCTGGGGCAGAGAGGCCCCCAGCCCTCATCCTGGACGCGTCCCACGTCATCCAGAAGGGATGCTGGTGCCACATGTGGACACACAACATGTGCATGCACGTGTGCACAGGCACGGAGCCAAACACGCACCACGTGTGCCTCTGCTCTCACTGGCCCAGAGAAGGGCAGGGACCCACCCAGGACCCCCCAGCAAGGGGATTAGGGTAGGGAATGAACTCAGGATCCCAATGGCAGGCTGCCAGATGGCCCAGAAAATTCTGAGAGCAAGAGGGAGGATCCAACCCTGCCATCAGCTTGGGCAGGGTCCTGGGGTGGCAGGAAGACCTCGGGCCCTGGGCTGGCAAACTAAGCGCAGGGCTGAGACAAGGCCCGTGTGCTAGAGCCGGGGACACAAGAGAGGGGCTCCAGATGATGTTAAAAGTCCCCTGAGAAGTGGGACGGCCATGACGGCAGCAGGCTGCATAGGGCAGAAGTGCACCAGCCCCACTGCCCACGAGGTCAGGGCCACAGCTAAGGGCCCTAAGCCAGGCCTCCACCCTGCGCAGGGTGGGCAGGCGATGGCCATTTCCCCCCAGAGCGGGGCAGAGGCTGGTTAAGAGCCAGGCTGGGCCGAGGAAGGAGCCAGAACCAAAGCCCCCCGTTCCCCATTAAGCAGACTTAAACCAAGGCCGGGGAGGCAAGTCTCCCATGGTAAGCTGGAGTCAGAGCTGGGGATAAACCCAGAGCCCCAGCTCCCTGAGGCCGCTGTGGGGTCTCTCCTGCACCCGGCCACTATCCAGCACAGGTTTGTGCCCACACGAGGCTAGGCGACGTGGCAAGGTCCACTGATGGACAGTGTCATCACTTGGAGGGAGGACAGCAGACTCCTCCAAAGGAACAGAGCACCATTCTGAGTGGCCCTGAAGCGGACAAGCAGAGGCAGGAGGCCTGGGTTGCAGAAAGCCAGAGCCCAGCCACCACCTAGGACACCCCCAGCAGTCTCTCCACACCCCAGCCCAAGCCTGAGGCGGCCTCCCCCGTGAACCTTGTGCTCCATGCAAACTGAGCCCCCAGGCCTCCTGGGAACAGAGTCCAGGATTATCAACTGGTCCTGGGCTCAAGGTCAGAAGCCCACATGCCAGGCAACTTTGGGAAGAAGAGAAACAGGGAAAGACACTGATAATTCTTGGGCTGGATGACAGAGGCGGGGCCCAGCAAAGTCATGAGGCTAACGTCTGTGCAGGGCTCAGCATGGGGCTGCTGGCCAGGGTGAGCCAACCCGTCCACCCCCAGAGCTCCAGGGAGACCTTGAGGGTCAGCAGGTCCAGGAAGGGCAAGCAGTGGGGGGAGGGGGTCTCCCTGTACCCCTGGGGGAGCTTAGTGAAAGTATCAAAAAGCGGACCCAGCCGCTGACCCCCAAAAGCCACCACTAGACTATAGTGGGGGAAGGAGCAGATTTAACTGCTCGGACAGCCTCCCGCTCAATCAAAAGGGACTGGTGGGTCCACTGTGTGACTGCCCTCTGGGGAAATGCTAGACAGTTGTCAAAAATAATGAACCAGCTTTGGGTGAGATGTGGTAAGGTGTCCGTGTTGTATGGCTGGGTGAAAAAAATCAGACTCTTAAAAAGTGACAGTAAGAAAAAAAAAAAAAGTGACAGTAAGTATACACACGCCTAAAACTGCACACATCACACATATGAACAGGTTGCCCAGGAGGCAGCATGGGGGGGATGTTAATACTTAACAAAGAATGTTTATAGTGGGCACATATAAGCCACATGTTCCTTCTGGAATTAAAATGGTTAAAATATATATAAAACATATTGAAAAGATAATGCCTGATAAAAGCTTCTGAGAAGTGGTGATTTTTTTTTCTTTTTCCTATCTTTGGCTTTCTACTTGTCTGTGACCTCCTGGTTCTGTGCCTCAAGGGGCCTCAGACTGGAGCTCTGGGTGGAGACGCGGCTGGGCCCAGGGCCTGGCAGGTGACTTTCTCCGCTCCATGACTCAGTTCTCCCTGTCACACCCTTCCGAGACAGCTGCAGTGGCCAGAAATAGCACTAGGGAGGGGCTCTGATGAGGGAGAGTAGGGAGAAAAGCAGCTGTTATAGGGAGGCAGGGCAAAGGCAGGAGAGATGTTTTTTGTTTTTTTTTTTAAAGATTTTATTTATTTATTTGACAGAGATCACAAGTAGGCAGAGAGGCAGGCAGAGAGAGAGGAAGGGAAGCAGGCTCCCTGCTGAGCAGAGAGACCGATGCGGGACTCGATCCCAGGACCCCGGGATCATGACCCGAGCTGAAGGCAGCGGCTTAACCCACTGAGCCACCCAGGCGCCCAGGAGAGATGGTTTTAAATCATGATCAGACCTTTGAAAAGGGAAAGGGTCAAAGACCAGGGCAAGAGTGAGCCTTCCAGAGGGGCGGATGGAACCACACAGTGAGACCATGAGATCACGAATCTGCACAGAGGCAGAAGGTACCAGGGTCCCACAAGCACCACCAGGCCCGGAGAAGGCGACCCTGGGGGCAGGGGGGAGTCGTTCGCTTTAAGGAAAGGGGCACTGGGATGGGAAGCACCTGGGACCAAGGCAGGAGCAGGCCTGAGTCCTCGTTCTACCCCTAACTCACAGTGTGACCTCCAATGCCCCCCCGCTCCTCTCTTGCCCTGTTTTCCCATCTGTTAAATGGGTGCTTAGACCCCAAAGTCCCGAGGGGTCCCCTTGCTCTGGCCTTCTGTGGGATAGAGTGTGGTTTGCAGAGCAGGCTCTGTGGTCAGAGACCTGGGTTCGAACCCCTCCTCCTGCTTACTGGTAGCCCTAGAAGGGGACATCACTTCAATTTCCCCATCGAAAGATGGGCAGACAACAGGATCTATTTCGGGGGGAGGGGCACCTGTTCCCTGAGCACACAGCAGTCGCCGAGAAGCTCTGCAGGGCCGGCAGGGAGGGCGAGGAGCCTCTGCAGGCCTAGACGCGGCAAGCCCGGGTTGTTGGGCCCTCACCTCCTTGTCGATGAGCCGCAGCGGGTACTTGATGTCCGGGCTCTCGAGGGTGATGGCCGGGGCTGAGCGCTGGAACAGTTTCATGAGCAGGTTGTAGAGGAACCAGACTGGGGACAGGACCACATGGCCCAACTGAAATGACAGGGAGAGAGCCACGAGGTCAGCTGGCCTGCCACCTGCCCTTCCCACAAACACAACAGTTGGTTCACACCTCCAGGCCTCTGCTCATGCTGTCCCCTCTGCCAGGAGCACCCTCTCCCCACCACCCTCATCCAGGGAACCCCGGCATCCCCTTTGGTGCCGGCTGGGAGAAGTTGCAAAACCCAAGCACATGAAACCTATTGCTGTATTCCTAAGTCACTGGCAAAGCTCCATTTCCCAGAGGAACCAGGACAAAGAAAGCTACATAACAGAGCATGTGACCCTTTTCACTTTGGCTGCCAGGAAGCTCACAATAAAGTTCTCAAGTAATTGTGCTTAATCTTGGGCACTGAGTATCTAGGCTCCCTCCCTCCTACCCTTCCTTTAGTCAACTTCCCTGCTCCCTCACCCTGAGCCTGGAAGTTCTGCCTTCAGGTTTGAGGGACTTGGGTCTTGGCACTGAACTGGGCATGGAGAGCTCTGCTCCTTGTTGGCTGTGTGATCCTGGCTAATTCCCTTGCCCTCTCTGAAATGAATTGGACCAGATGATTTGCAAGGACCCCTGAAACTCGGAGAGTCTACTGCCCAGAACCGTGATGAGCCCCACATGGTTGTTCAGCACCACTTTACAGATGAGCAAGCAGCTCAGAGAGGGAACCAACTTGCCCAGAGTCACACAGCGGGCGGGTGGGGAGCTGCAATGTGAACCTGAGTCCACTGGCTTCCCCAGTCACACTCTTAAACATCTGGCCCATGCTCCCTCTCCTATGTGACCTTGAGAGGCTCCCCCTTGCCAGCCCCCCACCCCCCACAACTCAACCTCACAAACACCCTAAAAGATGCTTAGATTTTTATCTATCTTTTAAGTAGACTTACTTTTAAAATTTATTTATTTATGGTGGAGAGAGCACTTGAGCACGCAGTGGAGCAGCAGAGGGAGAGGGAGAGAAAGGCCCAAGCAGACTCTGTGCTGAGCACAGAGCCCGACACGGGGCTCGATCCCACAACCCTGAGATCACGACCCAAGCCAAAACCAAGAGTCGGACACTCAACTGACTGTGCCACCCAGCGCCAGTTAAAAAACACAAAACCCAAATTCCCTGGCCAGATAACTCACTACACTTCGGTATACTTGGGGAGAAGAGCCTTGCAGAAGCCGGACAACTGGTTACCCATCCTTTCTAGCTGTTTTTGTCCCGGGGCAAATCACTCAGCCTCTCAGAGCTGTTTCTCCAACTGTGAAATGGGATCATTTCATCTGCCTCTAACCATGAGGGACACAGTAAGGGCCATTCCCCAGGATAACTCAAAAATGGCACAAAAAAACAAAGGAAGGTCAGAGAACTGGTCCTCATTAAAGGAAGCTCTCGTGGGTTGAACAGAGGCCCCCAAAGACATACCCACATGGATCCTGGGAACGTGACCTGACCGATAATGGACCTTTGTTGATGCAACCCAGCTAAGGATGTTGGGGTAAGTATCTGGGATTATCCTGGTGGGTCCCCAACCCCATGACAAGTGTCCATATAAGAGAAAGAAGACTCAGAGTGAACTCGAAGACAGAGATGAAGACTGGAAGAAGGTGGCCAACAGCCAAGGAAGCTAAACGTTGTTGATAGCCTCCGGAAGTAGGAAGAGACAAGAAGGATCCTCCCCTAGACTTCCAGAGAGGGGGCTCTGCCAGCACACTGATTTCAGACTTCTGGCCTCTGGAAGTGTGAGAGAATAATGTCTGCTGTCTTACGCTAGTTTTCAGTGACTCTTCCAGTTCTAGGAAGCTGAGACAGAGGCCAAAGAGAGCCCTGGAACGTGATGCATGGCTTTGGATTATAATCTTGGGCCAGAAATAAAATAGCTATAAAGGGCAATTTTTTTTTAAAGATTTATTTATTATTTGAGGCAAAGAGAGAAAGAGAGAGAGAGCGCACACAAGCAGGGGAGAGGCCGAGAGGGAGGGAGAGAATCTCAAGCAGGCTCCCTGTAGAGCACAGAGCCCGACATGGCCCATTCCTTAACCATGACCTGAGCTGAAATCAAGAATCCGGATGCTCGAACACTGAACCACCCAGGCGCCCCTACAAAGGGCAATATTGAGACAACTGGTGAAACCTGAATTAAGGCCCATGGATTAGATAAGGGCATTGCAGGGGAGCCTAAGTGGTTCAGTCAGTTAAGCATCTGCCTTCAGCTCAGGTCATGATCCCGGAGTCCTGGGATCCAGTCCTACGATGGGGTCTAGGTGGGGAGCCTGCTTCTCCCTCTCCCTCTGCCTGCCGCTCCCCCTGCTTGTGCTCATGCTCTCTCTCTCTTCCGTCAAATAAATAAATAAAAATCTCAAGAAAAAAAAAGAAGATAAAAGAGCACTGCATCCAACGTCACTTTCCTGAATCGATCACTGTCCTGTAATCAGGCAACAGAATGGCCTTGTCCTTAGGAGATACACACTCAAGTATTTAGGGGCAAAGGGGCTTCGTACCTATACCTTACTCTTAAATAGTTAAATAATAATGAAACATACACACACTCACAATAACGCAAATACAGTAAACGTTAACTACATTAGTGACAAGGTCCATCTGGGCAAAAAGTATACAGGAGTTCACACATTATTGCAACTTTACTGTAAGTTTGAAATTATTTCAAAATAAAAAGTGGGTGTGGGGTGGGGAGGAGCCCACACTGGTGGTTCGAACAGTGAGGCTGAGATCCAAAAGTGCACACTGCTTCTCCAGAAAGCCGGCTCACGTTTTTTTTCTGTAGCCATCACGGACACACCTCCCTGACGTTAGTTCTCTCAGCAAATGACCATGTGTTCTCCTTAACATCACCGTACAAGTTCCCCTTTTTGCCTTGACTGCCAGGAAGCTCAGAGCCAAGTTCTTTGATTGCACAGCTTCTTAAGGTAGCATATTCTGCAGAGCGTAGACCTGGAAGTGGCTGGTGAGAGGACCCTCGCCTCTCAAGGCCCACCCCACTGCTCCCTGGCTTCCTAGACACCTTGCCAGGATTCTCCACTTTCTATCCAGGATTCTCCAACTTTCTATCGACCTAGGGAGGGTGCTCTGGCTGAGTACCTGAGGCCTCTCGGAGCCTCAGTGTTCTCATCTGTAGAAGGAAAACTGACTGCTCTGCCCACCTTCTGGGGGAGCTGGGATATGAGCTGAGATGGGGGTGCCCAGGTCACAGAGGAATGTGGGTGCACACACAGGAACTTTTTCCTGCCGCCCTCAGTGGGCCTCTGACAGCGCGGAGGTGGAATACCCAGGTGAAGAAGGGCAGAAGCACCATGGCCCCTGCTCCCCGAACCGGCCCAGCAGCTTCAAGTTACCTTGTGGCTGCTATGGTTTCAGGCCCTTTGTTGGGCTTAGAACAATGGGCCTCTCTCCCAGGCAGGGCCTCTAGGCTGGGTAGAGCCTAGGCCCCACCCCACAGAGCCCCTGGTCTGTGACTAATGGGTCTGAAGGAAAGGCTCTCTAGAGCCAGCCAGGGCTCCCTTCTCCAACCCTGCCCATCACAGCAGGGGCTGGGGCCATCCAGCAGGGGTCTATGGCCACTGCCCATTTATCCAGCCCCCACCATATCCCAGACAGCACACAGTGTTTCGCCCATCCTGGGTCTCATTAAGGGACCTGGCTGGCAGCCCTGGACTCGGGGGTCAGGAGGCCCAGTCTAAAACCCCACCTCAGGACCTCAGGGGGAGAACCTCAGCCTTTCTAGGCCCCGCCCTCCTTAAGTGCAAGTGGACATCCCATCTAGGGCTGGGGGGGGATTGGGGGTGTGGGAGGTAGTGGGGATGGGGGGGGATGATGGAAAAGGTCTCACACAGAGCGGGCAGGGCAAACGATCCCAAGCTGGGACTGCCCAGTGAATGATACACGAGCAACCTGAGGTAATCCTCCTTTCCGCCTCAGGCCACAGGCACCATGTTCATCACCAGGTCACAGAAAAGGAAACAGACCCAGAGAAGGGCCGTATCTTGCTCCAACTGCACCAAAGCCAATTCTCAGAACCACACTCACAAGGGATATTACTGTCCCTGTTCCTCAAGTGACTTGCCTGTGGTCGGGTCCTACAGCAAGTCAGGGAAGAAGCCAGGACTCAGCACCAGGCCCGTCTAGCTCTTCCCAGGCCACCTCCCTGGACAGGTGCCCTCTCGGTGCCCCGGCCACAGAGCCCGAGGCCCGAATCCCACCCACCACTGTCCCATATCCTGCCTCCCACAATGAGACCCCAACTGCCAAGCCAATGGGGCCCCCACTCCCTCCTCAAACACCCATGATGGCTCCCCACTGCCTACACTCAAGGCCCCTACTATATGGCTACAGCTCTGGCCAAAAGCCCTTCTTGCCTCAGGCCTTTGCACAGTCTTCCTTCTGCCCCAATCGCCCTTCTTCTTCCCTCATCCAGAGAGGAAACTCCTATTCATCCTTCAGAGCCCAGGTCAAAGATCAAATCTTCCTTGACTGGCCTCCCTAGCTAATCTGGCCCTCAGTGGACTTCCACAGCCCCTGCTCCCCCTGCAAACTCGGTGGGGGTGAGGAGAATCTGCAGGTCCCTCCCAGTCAATCGGAGAATCCCTATCCGTTGGGAGCACTGTTTAGGGAGAGAGTGGAGTGAACTTACATTTGCAGGAAATCACCACTGGAAGGAGCCCTGCAGATGGACTGAAATGACGGTAAGGGCCAGCTGGAGTTGTGTCTGGTGCTCCCTGGAGTTTTATTTTCCCCAGATCTTGGCCAAGTTTGATAACATAAGACCCCCTGGGCCTGCAGCTCGCTGTGCAATTGGCAAAAGGCCTTCCCTTGCATTTCCTCACTGACCCACAGCAGTGAGAGTCAGGCCCACTGCATTCATTTGACAAATGAGGAAACTGAGGCATCGAGGCCCAGGGTGGAGTCTGGGCTTGGGTCCCCAATTTTCTGTCACTTATCTCTCACCTGCCCCAAGCCCACAAACACTGGCTGTGACAAAGATTCCCAGGTCAACAGCTCCGAAGGCAAGTCCTGAATACGGGCTGCAGCCCTCGCAGAGCCCTTCCAGAGGCCAGGTACCAGCCTCGGGGACCGCGGACGCCAGCCTGCGCTCAAACGGCCCGTGTGTGGTCACAGCTGAAGTGCCACAGCAGACCCCAGGGCAGGAACCCCAGGAGGTAGACATCTGGGTGTCTCCTCACCAGGGCACATCCCCCCTCAGAGACACTTGGTAAACATTTGTGGAAAAATCCAGGCCCCACCCCTGCCCCAGGCCGTTTTCTGACTCCCTTTATTTTGTCTGGAAGTTTCAGGAACCAGGGCAAGAGGCCAGGTCCCTCCCCAGCAAGCTCGGGGCACCCGCTTACCCTGTCCCTTTGAAAAACCCACAGCCCTTCACAGAGCACAGGCCAAGGTGGCTAGGACCCTTGCTCCCACCCTGCCGGGCACAGCCGCCTTCCAGAGGTCCGGAAGGATCAGTGCCCTGGCCCCGGAAGGAGCTGCTCCCGTGGGCAGTTGACAAATGTCATCCGCTTTCCTTCTAGTCCCCACTCCCCGTGACTGCACTACATAGAGCACATAATTATCTCTCATAACCCTGTAAGCCCAGAGAAGCGAGCTATTACCACTCCCAACCCAGGCAAGGAAGCAGAGGCCCGGGCGACAGACCTGGCCCAAGGACCAGCATTTAAACCCAGGCATCTGACTCAAGTCCACGCCCTGAGTCACTGTACAACAGTCTCTCTGTGCCCGCGGGCCCCGTGTGGCCCCTGAGAGAGCAGAGGTGGACTTCTGCCAGCCTACACCTTCTGTCCAGGGAGGCAGCTGTGGGCTGTCAGTCCTTCAGGCCATAAACCCCAGGAAGCACACCTCACACCAGGGACGTGCCACGGGACCCTGGCCCTGAGGAACGCAAGCCAGTGGGAAGACAGACACAGCCAGGGGAAAGGGTACAGTGGAAAGGTAAAGGCTTCAGCTCCCAAAAATGGAAGGCTTTGCCAGATTCACAAGGGGTAAGGATGCTCTGTTCCCGCAACTTGGAAGTGGAATGAGCTCTGCACCGCACCCCCCCCACCCCCCCGCCAAGCCCAGGGCACCACTACCACCCCTGCAGGCAGTGGCCAGAGGAAATAGAAGGCAGATGGCTGAGCCCAAGGACCCACCCCAGCTCCTGCTCAGCCGAGCTGCTCATACACAGACACACACATGTACCCACATGTACAACCAGGTCGCCGCAGCCACTGGGTGGGGGGGGTGGTCTGGGAGACTGGTGCCTGCCTCCCAGACCTTGACCTGATGCCCCTCCAGGCCATGCTCTGCCCCTCAGGGAACCCTCCACCTGCCTTTCCTCACCTCTGCTGACACAGGAGGGGGAGAGGGGAAGGAGCAGCCAAAGTCCCAGGATGTCTCCAGGGAGCGCTCAGCACACCCACCACTGCTGAGGGGCTGGGAAGCTCCCCCCCACCTGCCACCCTCCCCAGGGCAGCCCACCCTGCTGCTCAGCCCCTGGAATTCCCTACTGGGACCAGGCGTGCCATCCACTCTACCCATGCCATCCACTCTACCCGGGTTAGGTCTGAGGGGGCAGGGTGAGCCCTCCCCAGGCGCCAGCTCCATGTGCTGAGGCTTACCTGCCTTGTTGCCCACCAGCTGTCCTGCTGGGATCTGAGTGTCCACCTCCCTCCTGGTCCCCTTCTCAGGAAGTGGAAGGAAGTGGGAGGGAGTGGAGGAAGTTCTGCAGGGGGGGCTCCTGGCTCGCAACTGTGGGGGAAGGGAACTCGGGAGGAGGGGCAGGAGGACAGCAATGGGGCTCTCAGCAGAGGAGACACAGCCCTGCTCTCCTGGGGCCAGAGATGGGGGAGGGCGGGGGGAGCAGCGGAAAGCCTGGGACTCTACCTGTGATGGCAGCCTGTCAGCCTGTCAGGGCCCCCTGAGCACTCAACAGCTGAGCTGGGGACCAGGGAGCCACAGTCCCAGAAGGCGGGCCAATCCCCCAGGGTTCCCCCCAGGTGGCTGACAGACTCCAGAGCCAACCCCTCAACTGCGGGGAGGCCCCCTGGAGCATGGGAGGAGGCCTCCTGTGGAGCCTGCATGTCCCAGATAAGGCGCCCCAGAGCAGTCTAGTGTGCAGAGCTGGAGCCAGCCCCCTGCAGACCCTGTAGAGCGTGAGCCCAGGAGGCCTAGCTAGGGTCTGCTGTGGGTATTTCCGGCTAAGCGGGAATCCCAGCAGGGCACACAAGGAAGGGGCAATTCCTGCCCAGCTACCTGGGGGGGGCATGTAGGGGGACTGGCCTGTCATCCGGGATGGTGACTCCCCTGTCCCCAGCACAGCTGAGTGCTCAGCAGGCTCCTTGGGCAGAGGAGGCCGAGGAGTTACTGAGTCTCCTGATCCCCAGACAGGGCTCTGCCCCTCACAACGCGGTTGCCAGGGAGCCTTGGCTCTTCAGCAAAAATGGATGGAGCAGCCACTCGCTGGGGACGCAGCGACAAATCCTACCACCAGCAGCCAGAAGGTGAGAAGCATCGCAGGAAAACAGCCGGGGTGCGGGTCAGGGGTCGAGGAGGACGTTCCTGTGCAGCTGAGTAATGCCCACGGGTTCGCCCTGGGCAAGGCTGCTGCTCGGTCTGAATGTCCCCCAGAGTCCTGGGCTGGGCCACAACTTCATGAGCAAGTACCCAGGCCAAGAGGCCTTTTGGCCTCATGAGGAGGAACCTCACAGAGCCAGAGGGAGGAGGCAGGCGCCCTCCAAGCCCCCGGGGCCTGGGGCGGGGACGGCGGTGGAGGCAAGCGGCCCTGGGCCTCATCCTTAGTGCCAGCCCTGTGGCCTGCTCCCCGTGTCCAGCCAGCACCCGGGACCACAGTGTGTGTAGGGATCTGGGCAGCTGCCCTCTGGCTACAGCCTTCTCAAGGAGCACACGGCCCCAGCCCCACCCTGGGGGCTTTTGAGAAAGCCAAGGGCGGAGGTGTGGGGGGGGTGGGGAGGCCCTGCACCGGCCCAAAAGGGACAGCAGGATGGTGGACTTTGGAGCCCACAAATCCAGGCCCTGCCAGACACCGGCAGGTGACCAAGTGTAATCTGCATTTCTTCGTTTGTGAAATGCGGCTCACAAGTTAGTCAGCTTCTAGCCTTCACGGGGAGAGCCCGAGGCGAGCCCAGCCGGGCAGCCCCGCAGGGCCCCTTCCCGCCAGACTACGGTGCCTCGGAGTCACTGTGGCCCCAAGAAGCCACAGACCCTGCCACCAGGCCAGAGTGCACACATACGGCACTCCCACACCCACGAGCTCTCAGAAGCTCTCACACACATTCACTCCCGCCTGCTCACGCGGCCACACAGGCTGCTCGGCCGCACACCTCCACACGCACACTGCCCACCACGCCCGGCCCATAGATTCACGCTCAGCCACACATCTGCACTCTCGAACGCATGCCCATTCACGCTCACTCTCGTGCACACTCACACTTCACACCCAGTCACTTCATATATTCAACCAGCCGCCTATTTGCACGCACAAACTCGTGTGCGTTCACACTCCCACGCACTTTCGTGCACACCCACACGTCACCCCGTCGTGTCATTTATTCACACTCAGCCACACACGTGCGCTCTCAAACTCATTCCCATTCACACTCACACTCGCTCACCGGCACACTCGGTCAGACTCCAACTTTCCCTGCCACACCCTCTCCCACCCGCACTCGCAGGGCTCAGGCGCAGCCCGCTCCTCCCTCCACTGGGCGGGACCGGGCGGGACCGGGAGGGATGGAGGGGGGTGGGATGCGGGCGAGCGGGCGGGGCGCCCAGTGTCCGTCAGCCGGGTGCCCGGCCCCCGGAGCCCGCCGCCCGCACGCCCCCACCCCCGGTCAGGAGAGCTGGGTCCCGGGGACGGAGGGCCGGGACGTGAGTCGCGGCTCCCGCGGGACACGCGCGGGGCGGGGTCCCCGTGCCCCCCGTCCCCCCGCGCCCCCTTCCCCACGTCCCCCCGCGCCCCCGTCCCCGCGGGCCCCCGCGCCCCTCCCCGCCTACCGTGCTCAGCTGGGCCCCCATCGTGGCGCCGCACGGTGCTCCTCCGCCGCTGCCGAAACAGTCGGGCCGCCGCGCCCAGGCCCCGCCCCCCGGTCGCGTCACCTCGGCGGAGGGGCGGGGCCGCGCGGGCCCAGGCGGCCCCTCCCCGCACACAGCCGCAGGGAAGGGGCGACTGGGGAGTTGCCCGCGCGCTGCAGGTGGCCGGCGGTCGGCGGCGGAGTTGGGGTCTCCACGCGAGCGCGCAGCAGGGCTCCGGCCCGCGGGGCGGCCTGGGGTCGCACGTCGGCCTTCTCTGGGTCCCTTTTGTCACCAGAAAGAGGGAAGGTGGCGCCCCTCCTCGACGGGATCCGGAACAGAATAATCCGGAAGCGGCCAGGCCACGCCTGGCCTAAACTTAGGGGCACCTAGCGCGGCGCTGGGCCTCACGGGCCTTCCCGGTCCTGACACTGCTTAGCTGCGTCCCCCTCCAGGCCTTTGAACCCGCTGTTCCCTCTCAACGGGACACTGTCCCCAGCTGCCTCAGGGCCGCCCGGGCTCACTGTTTGGCTGCAGGTCAAATAGCTCTTCCTGCAGCTGAAGTCATCCCACTGTGTTCCCTCCTGGGTTGCCTGTCCCCAGGCCCACCGCATCCCAGGGGACTATGGGCTCCCTGAGGGCAAGACTTTTTTTTTTTTTTTAAGATTTATTTATTAGGGAGAGGGAGAGAATTCTCAAGCCGGATCCTCTGGCCTGCCCTGCCCTATGCTGAGTGCACAGCCTGATGGGGCTCAATCCCAGGACCCTGCCATCACGACCTGAGCCAAAATCAGGAGTCCCCAGGGGTATCGTGGTTGCTCAGTAAATACTTGTTGGAAGAGTCAGCTGAACAGACGGCGCCGCCTCTGTGTAAGCCCATGCTGGCTCCAGGGAGGCTCTCTGGCCTTGGCCTGCTGGAACGGTCTTGGACTCAGATGTGAGCTTCTGTCGGATGTGAGCTTCTGGTAGTCTGACTGCTCGGGCTGCCGGCCCCGTGTCCCTGCAGTGTGATGCTGTCCAGGCAGAGAAGAACTGGGCCTTCCAGGCAGAAGGAGCTGGACAGAACCTGGAGGTAGAAGAAAGGTGGACAGACACAGGGTTGCAAACACCAGAGGCTCACTGTGCCCCGAGCTGGACCAGGGGGCACAATGAGATTATGTAAAGCCAGGATGAGGCAGTGTGGGGACCTGGGTGGAGGGCACGGGGATGGGGGGAAATGTGAGGAGGATTTAGGCATGTGGGGGAGGGAAGGGCTGGTTTTGAAAGGCAATGGGACAGCATGGAGGGAGGGACAGAGAAAGAGATCTAAGGGTGAATGTCACAGCAGATCAGTCAGGTATAATTTCAGTCTTACTGATCTCAATT